TATAAAAAAAACCCATGCGTTTCTTCCACAGCAGTTTAGAACTCCTTCCAAAAACCCATCGGTTTTATTTTATTTTTGCGCGAACTGGTAAAGTTCATGAGCTTCGCAGAAACACTCTGGCGAAATTCGCAAGAGAGCGATCACGTTGACTTGTCGAGGCGCTCTTGGCTGGGAGGAGTGGCAACGTGGATTATCGCCCCCCCCCCAACTCCTCCTCGAGCCGCCACTCCTCTCGTTGCCATCGGTGGGTGATGTCATCGGCAAGGCTGTGGTGTTTTAAGTTCAGGAGGAAGTTGGTGGGGGGGGGGGTGGAGATTACTCGGCAAAAAAAAAGCCACCACCATCATCGTGAGCATCGAGCTGGTCAACCCACTTTTGGAGCGCCTCCTCAAACCGTCGTCTGCATTTCTCGCAATCCTACGACGTCAATAAGCCACCCAGCATTTCATCGCTCCATCTCCTTCCTTGTCGGCAACCCCCGGCGGACGCGTTCCGTGACCTTGGCTGCCCGCGCTCCCGTCGAGCCGGGGCTCTTTGCTGCAGGGGGCTTGGGGTGATGTGATGTCGGGCAAACCTCGAATCACACGCGATCCTCGTTCTGGATCCGATTGTAACCCCCCCCCCCACACACGTGCACGCATCTCTCCGCTGTGCATGTGCAACGTTAAGCAAAAAAACATTGTAATTCCCTCCTCCCCCCCCCCCAACTACAATTAGGCGCCTTGGGACATTAGTGGAAGGCGCCTTACAGAAATGTGAAGAATTATTAATTAAAAACCAAAGGGCAGTTTAATTAAATTTAGATTTCAAGCTTTCGTGACTGCAGGGATTCAGCTTCTTGGTTCTTTCGGTAAAGTCACGTAGACGGGAAATAACAAAATAAAAAAAATAAAACATTATAAAATAATTCTCACGAGAAATGCCGAAACGTTGTGAGAATTATTTTATTATGTTTTATCTTTCTTATTTTATTTCCCTTCTACGTGACTTTACCGAAAGAACCAAGAAGGGGCAGTTTAATTGTTTAACTTTTCCAGTGTGTCGCGTTCCCATTACAATTGCAGCACATGACTTGGCAAAAATGATCACAGGGACAATCTCGCTCAGTGGATGAATACGTATATTTTCGTTTTACCAACTCCATTGTATGTACGATTTACAGAAAGGGGAAGGCGGAGAGGGAGGGGAGCGATTGCGTAAACCCGATGCGAAACAAAATAACGAAACCGTGTCGTATGAATTTGTCAAACAAAAAGAAAAAACACAGGCCCCAGCACAACTGTGAATATGCCAAGTCAAAAAGAAAACGGGAGGGAAAGAGTTAGGGGAATTAAAATCACCTAAAATACCAACTACAACGTACTGCACGTCAACGCAAAGATGATGATGATGACGACGATGATGACTATACAATAATATACTGACACATCCTATAGTCAAAAAATAATTAGCGGGCAAGGGGGAGGCCGAAAAGCAAGTGGCTTGAATCAACTCTTAAAAACAGGGGAAAACGGTTTTCCAAACCATTAAAAAATAATCCATCTGTTTTTGTCACGATCCAGCGACGCAGTGAGATTATCCTGGATGCTGATGGTGGCGGTGGTGATGGTGGTGGCGGTGGTGATGATGGTGATAATGGTGGTGGTGATGATGATGAAAAGCCACGGCCATCGGTAACATTGTGGACAATGAAGGCAGTGGCGAGGAAGCGTTCCGCACAAAGCATTAGCATCACGTGCACCCCTTAACCATCCCGTGAGACTAAGCGGAGCCGCCCGCCTTCTTATGAAGCAGTAACCAGGACCTCTCCAAAAGGAGTAGAAATCACAAAGTCCCGTCTACGTTCACGTTAGCATATATAGATTGTTACCCTATAATTTAAAAGAAGTGTGTCCGATGAAAGGAGGAATAATAAATTAATCGGTGAGATAATTGGGCTTCGTGAGCGTGCGTCATTGATGAGTTAGTGCCAGTCGGGCAGCTAAAGTTTTTAACATACCGTCTGTGTGTGTATGTGCGCGAGTGTGTGTGCGCGTGTGTGCGAGTACTCATTACACCTGCTGCCACGTTGGCAGCACTCGCTTGGGCGATTAATAACGTGAAACAAGGTGAACGAAACAGCCTCGTTTATCTGCCAATACAGCAACACCAACAACAATATTTTTTGTTTAGTTAAAATAATAATCATTAAATCACTTTGGCAGGCCGCACACAGCCAGCACTTACATACACAGTACATAATATATCAAGGGCTGCTGTCTTTGTAAATGCTCGCCACGGATGGATGGACGGTAGAATGGCCGGATTAGTCAACTTATTTGTGGCGCTGCAAATCCGACCACACTGTGTAAATGATAAGCCCATCCCACCATCAGAACCAGGGGGGAGGGATGCATTCCCGGCTGTGTGCCCCGACTGCGCACAACGAGACTGAACACACGCAGAGCTGCGCGAACAGCAGCAAGGCACAACTCCCATCACACCTTGCGTTGCCATGTGACCTGCCACATTGTCCAGACCAGCAAACCCCCCCCGCCCGCACGTTTGCACCCACACACACACAGAAAGCTGTACATGTGGCCGTATTGTTTTTTGTTCGACCATGACCATTAATTCAGTGATGGGCGAAATGGTTTCTCTTGCTTTTATTTGGGAACAGTTCTTAAAAGTCCTCTGCCGTGTGCTTCATAAACGCAATGCAGCTGCGAAAACGTGGGTGTACCTGTGTTTGCGACTTAGAAAACGACTTGGGGGCGCCTTCATCCAGCAGTGGATCGATCATGACGGATGATGATAATGACGTATTATAAAAGTGACGCCAATTTACAAAGCAGCAGCTGATTTTTTTTTCTACACACGTGACGAACACGCCGGCCCGCCCCAATCCCTCCGCAATACCCATAATTATATATATACTGTACGTACATATACTTATAGTCTTAAATAGCCGGCACCAAGCCATGAAAAGGCATACTTTCTCCGTACACTCAGCAGGTTTACGAGAATTAACCTACGCACGTGTTGCTGGTGAGTGTGTGTCTGTGTGATTTGTTGAATATACTTTATACGCATTTCTCCCCTTGCAGCAAGATTCCACAAGAGCCTATTGACAATGATGCTTCCCCCACCTCCCCCTCCCCCCTTAGCTGGATACAACACCGCCGAATCGAGTGACGGGCAATGCCGACCTTAGAACTACAAATCTCGCCTGAACGTTGAAGGAATCGTAAAATTATGGCTTTTTTTGTTTGTTTTATATTAACGTTACACTCATATTAAATACTTAACGTAAAAAGGTTTAGCGGTTAAACACAGAAATATTAACGCATCTTCTACTGCATTTTGAATTAAGCATTTGTTGCTGCAACATACCCGGCATATATATACTGAGCTCAGATGTATAACAGTATTTTCTTGTATACCAACGTGCATGCGGGTCAAATGTTAGTTTTGGTTTATAGGGACAATCTTTTTATCAGGAAGGGGCAGATGCCTTAAGGGCATTCTCTTGAAATGAGCGCTTCCAAACGCAGGCATTTGGGTCTCCTGCACAGCGCTAACGGGTGGGGATGTAATAGTCCCATCGCTACCCATCTCGTACAGACGACGCCGTCTTGTGGACAGGCTGAATCGTTTGCCCCAGCCAGTTCCGAGGGACTCCGTGTGTTTTATTTTTTTGGAGCACTTCAGCCTGCGGTTGGGATCATATCCACAAGATAAGAACCCCTAACCGAGTTCTGCACCCCGACGGAGTTCAGATGGGGGTGCGCGCAACGGACCTGGTCACATCACCTGTCGGGAAATCACAGGCGTGGGAATCTTAAAAGCCACAAGAGTTGTCGACGCGTTCGTTGCTGGCCACACATTCCAATCGATTCGCCCACTTGGCCATTGCACGTCACTGCCTCCTCTTGCAATCGCATGGGAGCAGACAACAGACTTGTTTAATGGAGACATGCACACACACCCCCCCTTCCGCCCCCGATGGCGTAGATTTCTGTGCGCCGTCGCATGCAAGTTTTTTTTTAAACGTAGAAAATATACTCTGCGAATTCAAACACTGCTGGCGACTTCCGACTATTTGGTAGTGGCGGTCCAGGAGGAGAGGGGGGGGGATCAGTTAAATCGTTTCTGTCTTTTCGCGCGGGCATGTCTTCCCTCTCTCATGTAGAGACGAAACACACGCAGCAGCAGCAGCAGCCTCGCACATCCCCCCGTCGTCACGTGCAAAGACAGACCCAGTCGCTCCGTCAAACTGATTGCCGCCACGCGAATTGCGCAAAAGCCAGTCACACAGGCAAACTACTACAATGCGAGGTGCGCGTGTCTCGAGAGGCTGGATTCCGTTAGATCAAGTAGGGGGGCGGACGCGCAGTGGTCGTGGCGAGACGCGGAATAAGAGGACTGTAGCTTGGCTAGAGCCGCCGCTGCTTTGCGAGACGCGGAGGGCTCAACTTCTCACGGGACATCCCCCCCCCCCCACACGGCTCGCTCGCAACATAGACTGGAGAGGTGGCACGCGACTACAGTAGCCAAAGCCGTAGCGACGAGGTATACTGGATGTGGTGCGCCGGCTGGCGTGCGAGAATATAACATTCCGGGTTGCCGACGCGGGAACGACCCGGCTAAAAATTAAGCCCCCGATTAAATAAATACCATTTTGTGGGGGGAGACGAGCTTCCAAACACTGGAACAGATGGGGGAGCGTTCACGTGTTTCTTCTGGCCGCTGTGCCCCGAAGGCCGTGAATCGAGGGCCATGGAGCAAACCCCTTCGACGGCGCTGCTGCTCGGTCCGTCGCGACATGCAGAGGACACTAACTACGTCGCCTAACACTCAACGCCTCCCCGACGGACACTCTCTCACGAAGCCGTTAATGGGAATTATATGAAAAAAAATCGAAAAAACGTCTTTGGTTAAGACCCAGTGGTAAATGAATGATAACATTATAGAAACAAAAAAACGTGTCCGGGAATAAAAACACAAAAACGTACAGCAAAGAAAATTATATCATTTAAAATCTTAAAACTGTGAGCGAGAGAGAAACAAAAAAATACACGAAATCAATTTTCCTTCTCGGACTTCCGGCAGGGAAACCAGTCATGAACAGTAACTGAGATTTAACACCACAATCGCTGTGCCACGTAGCCAACACCTTAACGCACCGACATTAAATACGAACCGACAAGCAGGGCAGCCGCCTGCCTCCTGTTCTCGGAGGCCTGGACTGCTTCCCCCTGGCACAAGTAAAACACAGCCAAATTGTAAAACATTCCCTTTGTAAATACATACACATATATACACTTGCACGTACAATTTACTGGAAAGCCAGTCGTCTTCTGTAATTCTATATAAAAAAACAAAAATGGAAAGGGAAAAAAAAAGGATTTTTTTTAAAAACAATATAAGCCACTAGCAAGTTTTTTTTAAATGCATTACATGCCTTGGTAATTCCAAGGTTGAACACACAAAATATACACAAAATGGCAGTTTAGTCGAGTACGATGGAAATAATTTCACCCCCCCCCCCCACCCCCCCCAAAATCAACAAAATACTTTTCTTGTATGTTTTTTTTATCCCATTTCTCTAGCATAATGTCACTTGTGTTCTCGTCTTGCTTTGAACCGGGCCGAGATTGCGACGGCATAAGCTTGCCGGCAACGCAGCGTCGACAGCCAATGGCACATCAGGAAGGAGGGTTAACAGAGAGCGCTGCGGGGTACAGCACGACTTGAATGACGCTGAAACTCGGCGAGTGCGGGGAAAATAAAAACTCCGTGTTCTTGAGTAGAGCCATCACGGCGCACACCCCCCCCCCCCCTCATTTAGTTTTTTGTAGATATTTGTTTTACCTATAATCTCAATACAACGCAACATTAATCTCAGAAACTAAGCGTATATTTACATGTACAAATGCGTGAATGCACACACGACCCTTGTGCATAAGCTACCGCGTGCGCGCTTTCACAACAGGGCACGCGCGCGTGGGCACGTGCACGCACACACACACAATCCCAGCCCTCGGTGACCCAACCTACGCGGATAAAATGACAAGCTAAGCCTAAGGCAACGTTTTGCACTACATGATATACACACAGTGATGCAATGCTGACAGATTTTCTACGCCTTGTGTTGTGTTCGCGCTACCGCTGCCGCCACCACCGCCGTTTCTTCTTAGTCTTCTTCTGCCGCACACCCACCCCACTGGCAGGCACAACCGCTCTACAATAGTGTTTGCCACAAATTCACATGTGCAGGATTCAGCACCCTGCTGCAGTGGACAGCAACCGCTCCGATGCTTTCAAATACCGCAAAAATATCAAGCCGTCCCCCGTCAGTCTCTTTCCTTCTTCGGCGAACAAAAAAAAACTGTGAACCTTTCGCGCTTTATTTCTTCTATACTGTGTAAAAGGTGGACGGGGATGAGTGAATAGCTTTTTCCCTCCGCGACTAATATAGTCTATCCATTATCAACAGGTGGATGCAATAGTCCTCTCACCATAAATACCTGTTCGTGTTCACAATACAGCAACGGTGTTGTGTATTCCTTAACTGTCAGTGGCCCAACAAGTGAGATTTACATTAATGCAGGTCATCCCGGTTTTTTTTTTAATCAAAATGCAGCTCGGATAGGTAAAGTTCAAATCGTGAAGTACGCATCCGTCACGAAAGCTTACAGATTTGTTAACCTGGTCTGAAAGGAAATGTATAAATAAACTGTCATCAAATGAAATTACGGATACACAAATCATCTACCCTACAGCTATCGTGTAAAATAGCACTTGTACTGTAAAACATTCCATGCCATCCGACCCCTCCCGAGGCAAGTTCACAAATGTACACGCGAAGAACGCTTCATTTCCACCATCGCGGCGACGATTCCACTGGCCGAACAACGCCGGCGATCTCCAGCTGGCACGAAGGAGGGGGGGGGGGGCCATGACCGACCCTCCGTGTGGTTAGCGTGACCGTTTCGTAAATATTTACAAGTGTCATTCGCGCAACGTGCTCGCACGTCCGAAACAAAAACCCCCAACGAACGTGAACTCCTCTACGATGTGGAAGCATAAACTTAAGTGACGAAGCTAAACGATGACTGGACACCGGACAGCGGGTGAGAGGGGATCGGGGACGTTAAAATCACCTTGTCGTCCTGACACGGTCAAACAGAGTCCTCGCGAGCACTCAAGTTTGTTTTGTTGCGTTTAGGAAATTGCAGACCGTTAAAGGGACCCCCCTTTCCTGTTTACACGAGGTCGACACGGCGCACCGAATAGTAAAAAATAATTGTAGTCTGTCGTATAACTCTGTAGCAGTTCAGCAAGGGCTCCTTCAAAAGAGGTTCTCTTCAAAGCTGGCCATGATGTCGCTCTGAAGGTTCATATCAATGGTCCCGGTGAGCTGATGGAGGGAACACACACACACACACGAGAGCTCACGTTAGTCGAGGCAGAGGCTTCACGATCAAAAAGTGCAAAATAACAAATGTGTGAACATGCGCAAAAGCTCTGGGGGAGGGGGATAAGCGAGTTATGTAAAGTATGAACTTAAGTCAATAACACTACCGGAAAAGAGAATATCTAATACTCGACATTTCAGTTAATGGCCCTTCTTCACTGCAGAGAAATCAACTGCTGTTTACGACCGCTGTCCAACATATTGGACTGTCGTCTATGAAAGCCTTTACCTAGAAAACCGGGCGTTGTGTTACTGTAGTCTGACTAAACGTGTTGTTAAGTACGAGCAGCAGGTGGTGCGTCTGGCTGCGAAGGACACATTTCTAGGTGGCACTAATGGATGGGTGGCATGGGTGGGGGCGGAGCCGCGTGCGGCACTTCAACTGCTTCGTGACGTTATTTAAGGACCGTCGTCTGGCATTCACCACGAACATTTCTCACTCTATAAATATCGGGGGGGGGGTGGGGGGGGTTTACCGAATTCGAAAAAAAATGCCTCCTCTGTTATTTTGGTGGCCGACCTGCTGCACTATTGGAACACCTGCAGCACACACCTCATGCCAACTACGCGCGTCAAGTAAGAGCCACAGCTGGGGCTCACACAGCGAACAAGACGGACGGAACAAAGGTGAGGGGATGAACAGCGCCAGCGCGGGGAAGGGCAGCGGGCGGCGGGGGGGGGGGGGAGCTCACCGCTTCTCTCCGCCGGCGCTCCTGCTCCCGCTTGCGCGCCAGCTCGCGGTCGCGCGCCGCCTGCGCCGACTGCTGCGCCGCCTGCTCGCGGGCCACCATCTCCTGCGCCGCCTGCGCCGCCTGTGCCGCCACCTGCTCCTCGTGCTGCCTCCGAAGCAGCGCCTCCTCCTGCGCACGCTGCGCCCGCTCAAGCGCCTCCTCCTCGTCGCGCTCCCTGCGTCGAGAGGGCGCAGGCGCAAGAGGTTTTCCTTCGGCGTTAATCTCATTGGCCGCAACAGGGGGGGGGGGCGGGGGTGGACACGGGGGTGGACACAGGGGTGGACACGGGGGTGGACACGGGGGGGGCGCCGTCGTGTCTCGGAAGACGCCAGCGCCGGTTTTCTCGCAACCGAGGTGGGTTGAACGTCTTACCTTTGGTGACCGTTTCACAAATTAATTTTTTCATTGGCATACCGATCGACAACTTAGCTGGAAATGCCAGCTCCATTGGAAACAAAGTGAGTGTAACGACAAGGACAGTCGGCGTTCGTTTCTTTCTGGGTCTCGCATGCCTGTGAATTGTACAGCTCTTGGTATGCGTTTCATGCCAAGAAGCGCAAGATAACCTCTCTCTCAGTGTAGGCATACCTAAATATTTAGCTAACTAATTCCAAGATGTACGAATTACAGGCGTTTGTATATTCTCTACCCCCCGGTTCTGCACGGGTTCCATTTGCTCCCATAGCTATACAAACACATGTACAACGTAGCCGCCGGTATAAACTAAACTATTTTTATTTTAGCAGGTAAGGCCCACTGAGCTACATAATATTTTTCAGAAGCAACCTGACCACAAACAATAGCTCAACCGATATCACGTGGAAATGTATAGGAGCAGCCCAACACTCGAAACACAGGTTGCTTCTAAATGTGGAGAGAAAAACTGTTGGACCCGGAGAAAAATCCACGTGACCACGGGGAGAACACGCAAACTCGAAAAAAACAGGTGCCAGGGTCGGGATCAAACCCACGACCTCCCTGCATACCAGGCGAGGTAGTTAACATCTCGCCACTGTGGTTCATAGGTGGTACCAACTGCGTAAACCCGCACGCAAGTAACACAACCCATCGATATGGGCGCGTTTCAAATGGAACATTCAAAACGACGTACGAACGATGCGACGGGCCGGTGTTCAGTCACCACCTGTTCCACCGCTCACCTCTGCCGCTCCTGCTCGAGGCGCATCCGCTCGCGCTCCGCCTGCACCATCTGCATGCGCCGTTGCTCCTCCAGCAGCTTGAGAGCACGCTCGCGCTCCTCCTTCTCCCGCGCCGCACGCCGGAACTGCTCGAAGCTGTCGCTGCTGGTCTTGGCGCCGCCGCTGCCCGACGAGGCCGGAGCCTTGCCCAGGCTGGCCCAGGAGCCCATGTTCTTGATCCGCAGGTCCTGTTGTGGGCAGGACGGCGCTCCTCGCTTTTGTAGGATTGAAAGGAGAAACGTGGAGGGGGCGGGGGGGGGTTAATTGTCAGGGACGCACAACAGACATCGTCACGATATTGTGGATACCCCCGTCGTCATACGACCACCATCACGACCATTATCGTCATCTCCCCGCCATCAGCATACGATCACCATCACCACCATCTTCATAAGACCATCACCACCATCTTCATAAAACCATCACCACCATCTTCATATGACCATCACCACCATCTTCATACAACCACCAAAACCACCATTTTAATTTTATTTCTGACCATCATCATACAACTTCCATCCTCATCATCATCTTGTTCATCAACTGCCCCATTATGACCACCATTAACACAATGATCACAAAAAACACATGCAAAATCATCATAAAAAATCATTACTGCAACAATTCCACGCTCAACAACCTTTTGTCAAAGTAAGAGAGCGTCGTGCATATAAAGATCTCCTAGGTAAGTGTGTTTGGGTCGTATCGTGTATTTTTCTGCGTGACGTCCGACATTCGATCCACGTGCTGGGAGCTTCTTCAGGAAAACCGGGCTCCCAGGACATGGAGCGAAACGTCGGACAATGTGCCAAACAACACGTGCAACACAAGCTAAAAACACACGGGAGCGCTACGCAGTATTTGATAACGATAAAAAAAATTATTTTCTTGAGCAAGCACACGCACAAAACATTTTGATCGTGCAGGCGGCTTGTCAACCGCCAAGCCACCTTTTTTGGAGCAACGGAGATTTTGGGGTCCTGCTGTTTGGGCCGGTTCAGGTTGAGTGCCTGGGGGGGCGGCTGTCCAGGGGGCATGCTGGCAACGGGTCCCCCCCGCTCCTGCAGCTCCCGCTCGGGCTCTGCAACGCGGACACGGGCGCCCACCACACACGTGCTCATCACAAACATCCCCCGTGCAGCCTCAACCGAGGGCAAGTGCCGCTGACGAGCACCTGCGAAGGCAAGGCACGGCACACGAGGGGGTGGATGGGATCGTTTGCGTGCCCCCTACTGTGCATGCCGGGCGGCTTGTGTCCTTCGCCCCTGTCCGTGCCGCCGGGGTGCATCTGTGGCAGGTGGGCGGCGGGCGCGTCGGAGCGGAGCGCCGGCGAGCGCCGCTCCTCCTCGCCCAGGTAGGCGGCGCGCGGGGCGCCCAGCGGCTCCGGCCCGCCGGCGCGGAGGCCCCCCGGGGGCATCATGCGTTGCCCACCGGGGCTGGCGCGCACCTGGTGCGGCTGAGACAGCGGAGACTGCGCCTGTGGCGAGGGGTGGCCTGCGGGGGTCGGGGCACGGGACACACGGAAGGGGGGGGGGCGTCACACTCGGGAGCGTGACGTGGCCGTCAAACCCGGTGGCTGGATTTGCCACGGAGTAAGTTTCCACGGACACGACATTGAATTTTACGATGACGATTATCTCGATAACAGTTTCCCAAGCTTCATGATTACGCGATTCATAATGACGTTTTTTGGCGAGGCCACGTGACGATCCAACCAGATGTGTGTCGTTAAAACCGTCCGCCATCCGACACAGCCAAACAAATTAAATTGTGATGTGGACAAGCGTTTTAACGTGCCAATTGTTACTGTTTCCGCTCGACGGTAAGTTTAAGTACAATCCTTACAACTAACTTTAGCATTTGGATATGCTACGTTTGATTTGAAACTATGTCAAGCATCATGAGGACAAGATGTTGTACGACTACAGTAAATTCAACATTGTAAAAACTTATTTATTTTACCAGGTAAGGCCCACTGAGCTATCCAGCTCTTTTTCAGAAGTGCCCTGACCACAAATGATAGCAAAACGAAGTTGCATATCACGTGGAAGTGTATGGACGCCAAATATTCCTAAACGCATGTTTCTAAATGTGGAGGGAAAAGAACGGAGAACCGGAAATAAATCTACATGACCACGGGGAGAACATGCAAACCCCAAATATACAGCAGGCGTCAAGAGTTGGGATTTAACCCACGACCTCCTGTATACCAGGTGAGGTAGTTAACATCTCGCGACCGTGCTTTGGTCTCATGACCACCGACACTAACTGTGGCAGAAATTTACACACTTTATTGACGTCAGAGGGAGGCAAAACCTGCATGGCTGTGACACCATCGCCTTGGCAAAAAGCGCTGGTTTATTAGCGCCAAGTTTCAAGCGCCAGGTTTTGCTCAAACAGTTTGTTTGCCGGGTGGGTGAATACCTAACAAACAGGAACGCAACTTTACACGGTTTGTAATGGATGACCGTTACGAGAGTTATGGAAATCTCGCCACCCGTGCCGCCCGCTACCAACAGCCAGACGGACAGAGCCAACGCATTCACGCGTTCAACCCTCGCTACAACTTGCTAATCTAAATCTCGCCACGGGTGCCTCCACGTGCGTCACACGCCGTCATCCGACACACGCACCGGCCACGGACACCGGGTGGGCCGGCTTGCTGGCGGCCTGCGGCTGGTGCGGCCCCGTCTGGTGGTGCTGGATGACCTGCTGCGCCCTGGGCTGGTGGAGGAGCTGCCTCTGACCAGGAGCAGCAAACTGCGCGGCCGCCGGCACCGGCTGCGGCGGAGGCGGCGGGGGCGACTGCACCGAACGCAGCGCTGACGACACAGGCGGCTGCTGGAAATGCTGCTGCTGTTGCTGCTGCTGCGGGGAAGGTGGCATTTGCTGGTGCTGCTGCTGCTGTTGTTGCTGCTGCTGCGACCTCTGCTGTGGAGAGCGCTGAGCCCAGGCTGGTGGCGAAGGCTGAGGAGGTGACATCGGTGAAGGGTGCTGCTGATGCTGCTGCTGCTGCTGAGGCTGCTGCTGTTGAGGCGGCGGTTTGACACCGACCCCTCGCCCAGCCATCCCATGCAGGTGCTGAGCAGCTGCTTGTGGCGGCAGCTGGTACTGTGCAGGAGTTCGACCGCTCTGCTGCTGCTGCATTGGCCGCCCCTGCTGCTGTTGCTGCTGCTGCTGCTGCTGAGGCGACTGCTGCTGCATGCGCGAGTAAACGTTCTGTGGCTGCTGCTGCTGCTGCTGCAGCTGCCCTCGCTGTTGCTGTACAACGGCGTTTTGATGCTGAAGCTGTTGCTGCTGCTGTGGCGAGGGGGTGACGCGCGACTGCTGCTGCTGCTGCGAAATCGGCGACTGCTGCATGCGCGGCTGTGCCTGCGGGGAAGGGTACTGCGGCGAGAGTTCCGGCGGCGAGCCGTGCTGCGGGGACAGGTGAGGTCGATGCATCACGTGGTGGTGCTGCTGCTGCTGCTGCTGGTGGTGGTGCTGTTGCTGCTGCTGGTGATGGTGCTGCTGCTGCGAAGGAGGAGGAGGCAGAGAGTGCAGCATGTGATGCTGCGGTGAAGGCGGCCGCCCCATGTGATGGTGCCCTGGCACCTGTGTGCTGTGCGGGGCCGATGGTCTACCCACTCCGTGCTGCTGCTGCTGCTGCTGTTGCGGCGACAGGTGCGGCAGGCCTCTCTGCTGCGGTGGCGACTGCAGAGGGGTCTGGTGCGGTGACGGCATGGACTGGTGGAAGCCGTGGTGAGCGTGGCTCTGAGCGTGGAACGACATCTCCTGCATCATCGCTTGCACTCTCGCCTGCTGCTGCTGCTGCTGTTGCTGCTGCTGAGAAGAGTTCTGCATGTGGTGATGTGGCAACGAAGCAAAGGTGGGGAACATGAACTGCTGCTGCGGCTGCATTTGCGGAGGCTGCTGCTGCTGCATCTGCTGCTGCTGCTGCTGCAACAGTGAGTGCGGGAAAAGCTGTGTGGGCTGGATGATGTTGCCCGGCGAAAGGAGCTGCTGTTCTGAAGGTTGTGACAGCGACTGCCCATATACTTTCTGCTGCTGCTGTTGTTGTTGCTGCTGCTGTTGTTGCTGCTGCTGTTGCTGCTGCTGCTGCTGCTGCTGCTGCAGATGTTGCTTCATGGTCATCGGAGCATCGGCCTCCGGCTGGTGTGACAGCACCCCAGGAAAACCTGTGTGGTAGTGCCACACAAAAGAGTTACCACACACGCTGCGCAAAACGACGACAGCGGGAGGGCACTGCAGCCCCTACACCACACGTTCGACATATTAATCATTACAAATGTTTGTCACGGTTCATACACAAACTAATGAACTTATTGATCTTAGCGATAATTTTTTTAGCGTTCAGTAAATGACAATTGATTTATTACGTGCCCTATGCCCGACATTAAATACAACTGGATTGGCTCTAGCCCTAATGAATCCAGGTGCGAGCATTATTTACCAGATAACAAGAGTTTCCATTGCACTGCCACAGACCAATGAAGCACGGTTAATCCGCAGGCCGGATAAGCCGCAGACAAGTGATGAAGAGATTCAACTATTGTTGTTACTCTGCTGTAGCATTTGACAGAGGGGATTCATCTTCTTGGTTCTTTCGGTAAAGTCACGTAGAAGGGAAGTAATAAAATAATAAAAATAAAACATAATAAAATAATTCTCACGACGTTTCGGCCACAACGCAAGCAGCCGTTCAGCTGAGGACGGCTGCTTGCGTTGTGGCCGAAACGTCGTGAGAATTATTTTTATTATTTTATTACTTCCCTTCTACGTGTGACTTTACCGAAAGAACCAAGAAGATGAATCCCTGCAGTCACGAAAGCTTTAAATCGAAACAGAGGGGATTGATGCCTCCCGTCCCAGCACGCAGGCTTTCCACACCGCTGGGCTCATCCGCGCACAGTACCCGAGGGCATGGCGTCAGCGAGCGGCGATGGCAGCGGCTGCTGGATGACCGACTTGCTGAAGCTGGAAAGCCCCTCCAGGCAGCACACGTTGGGCAGCAGCGACTGCATCTGGGGAGCCGCCTCGGGTGATGGATCGCACGCCTTCAAATCCTGGAATGCACGCACGAACGCAAGGCCGCGACGGTTAACTCCGTGTGTGCACTGCTCCACCGCCATGGTAACCCCATCACCGAATGAAATTGGGATGCGCATTGTCTCGTTAATTTATCTTGTTATTTATATTCTCAACAACTTCACACTAATAATAATATCCAGGGGCCTGCCTTGGCTCCTCACACCCTCAACCAGTATATGTACAAGGACGGTTCTCTTGGAATTTCTCTTACTTGATACAGCAATCGTGCTGTGACGGTTCCACCTGAAGACGGAGGCTTGTGTTGCCTCCGAAACGTCGTGATTTTAATTTTATTTTACTTTTATTAATTTTAATTTTTTTTTACCTACGTGACTTTATCGAAAAAACCTAAGAATATTCTCACCAACCTCTGAGATTCCTTCAGAAAAGAGTGCAGCAACTTTCCCATCTCGTACCCTGCCACACAGCGTAATGCTTTTCGCGTGACAGTGAAACGCATTTAAATTCCCAGAGCTTAAAATTTTGCAAAAAATTAAGTGCGCAGAATCAAATTTCACGTGACAGATGCGTTTTGAGCGCAGTCATTGGTGGCCGTGCCAAGACCGTAAACTCGCATGCACTCGACAACACGGTTTAATAATGGCCAGTGGCTGAAATCTGGATTCGAATCCAGGATCTGAAGAGTGAGAGATCAGCGCTGTTGGCTGCGAGCCCTCCGAGCGGGCTTACCCTTTTGTGAGTGATAATGTCGCTTTGTGTTGCTTCAACGCGTCTACTCACGGCCATGTGGTTCACCTGCAACATATCCAGGTCGACGCCACCTGCCTGGATGGCCGGCATTACCTTGGCAGTCATTTCTGTTGAAGCAGAGAGGGACAGGGGATCATAGTTAAAATAAGTAAAACGTTTATATAACAAGCTGTTCTCCACAACAAAATCCTCCTTCTTCTTGGTTCTTTCGGTAAAGTCACGTAGAAGGAAAATAATAAAAATAAAACATAATAAAATAATTCTCACGACGTTTCGGCCACAACGCAAGCAGCCGTCTTCAGGTGGAGAACAGGTCTGTCAAGTAGACAGAGTCTGATTAAGTGCGCAGACCTGTTCTCCACCTGAAGACGGCTGCTTGCGTTGTGGCCGAAAAGTCGTGAGAATTATTTTATTATGTTTTATTTTTATTATTTTATTATTTTCCTTCTACGTGACTTTACCGAAATAACCAAGAAGATGAATCCCTGCAGTCACGAAAGCTTTAAATCGAAATAAAATCCTCCTTGATTCAAAGCTTCAAATCAAACATCTCAGTTGCACGATGTCCAAAAACTGTTTTCTTAATTTCCAAAACGGTTTTCCCGAGCCCTCATTACTTTGATAGTGCATTGCCTTTGAGCTGTACGCCTTTTGGCATCCTCTGGTCGAGCACCAATTGGGTAGAGGCTCAAAAGAAAGCCGTCCCTTGGTGTGGACCAATCAGTTTCAAGGACAAAGCATATATTATCATAGTGTTTTTTTTGCATTTTGACTGCAAGTATTGTGGTTAATGCAGACATGAATCCTTGTAAAAAGGTTTCAGTTTTGTTGCCAGAAAAAAGGGGAAAAACCCGATTATTAGAATCTACAGGTTGTTAAGATTTTTTCACTTTGCTTTATTTTACGTGAAGATTTTCTTTCAATACTCTACGGAAAGGATAAAAGTTAGTTTTCTCTCTCTGTGTGTCTCTGTCAAATTTCACACTTAACTTCTAATTTAGCAATCTCTGGAGAACGTAATCAACCAGGCTATGGCGTTAACTGTGTGTTAGCCGACTCTCTGCGTTGCATTACATAACATTTCCAAAAAATTGGTAAGTTTGTTTTCTCAAACTGCCTATTTATCTCTCTCAAAATTTACCAAGCTCTCATAGGTCCATTCGCTCTTGCTCTCCACCGGCCGCTTCAGGGTGGATTTCCACACAAATCTCTCTAAAATCTACCAGTCTTGCTGGGTCTTTCTCTCCCCCTGCCGCTGTGGAGTGGATTTCCACACAGCTCTCTCATTGACATGCTAATTTCTCTGCTCCAGCAGACCCACCTCTCTCTCTGCCCCCACCCCCCCTCTCTCTCTCTATTTAAGGCCACGACATTGGATCTCTGTCTGTCTGTGTTGTCTCTCTCTGCTTGCGTGTCTGTCTGTGTGTCTGTGTTTTGTCTCTCTCTCAAATTTAGTTCGACCTGATGACGATTGCTTGTGTTGAATCGAAACGTCGTATTCTATTATTTAATTTATTTTCTTTCTACGTGACTTTACCGAAAGAACCCAAAAGTACAGATTCAATGACAATTTTTTTGGGTTCCAGGACTGTTTATATCAAATTAATTTTAATAACACGGGGTGTCAAATTAAGGGAACAACAAAAAAAAAGTCCTAAGCCTCACAATTTAGGGCAACAAGTCCACCCTCTTCCCCTACCGTCAATCTTTCACGGGGTAAAAAAAAAAGCGGAGAAACTGATTAGATACAATTCACATTCTATACGATGACGCGGTAAATCTTCAAGATACTAAAGTTGCAGCCTAACGGCTCGCACACACTGCACTATGAACCTGCCAATCAAGAGTTTGCGTCAAGGTCCAAATTTGCCAAAGAATAGAAGGAACCCGCTGTGCAAAGGTTAATTGGTAAAACCACAAAGCAACATCATCCCCTCGCCGCTACTGGCAGACTACACTCGTCTGCCAAACACTGCACGCCTAGGCGATAGCCTTGCCCTACGTATGTTGAACTTCTTTCGCACCGTACGTAGCCAACCGTGCTAAATCGTTGGTGCAGGGGGAAGGAAAACAAGAGAGCGGTGCGCGAACACCACGTGTACCACCGAGGTGATTGAACCGATTGAATCGTCACGCCCCTCGGAGGAGAAACGTCATTCCGCTGCGAGTGAGGCCGTCGCAGTGACCTGTCTCGGAGTCGCTCTCCGACGAGCTGGTGCTCTCGCTGCTGCTCTCCGAGCCCGACGAGCTGCTCGAACTGCCGCTGAGCCGAGGGGCGCCGACTCCCTCCAAGCTGGGGTCCCTCCGCTCTGCCGGTGGAGAAAGCGCAACGGGCACGGCAGCACGCGTGAGATCGACTCGTACGCACACACGCACGAGCTTGGCTCGTACACACGCACGCCAGCGCGCGTGAGCTCGGCTCGAACGCAAGCAAGCACACACGCATGCCAGCGCGCGTGAGCTCGGCTCGTACGCACGCACACCGCGCCTGCCATCCAGCGCTGGAGAGGCTAAGGGCTGGTGGACCGTGTGGAATCATTAACGACTCAAACGAGGACTGTCGCGACAGACCACAGTTGGTATCGTGATTACCGTCATACACCGCAAACTGATATTGTATGGCACGGTATGAAAATGTTATCGTGGCAACCCTTTATAGTGTTATTTTCTGGAAGAAAACGATACTAATGGATTCCGTACTCACCGTGGAGAATTATCCAGTAACAAATGGTTAAATGTACAATTTCTCGAAGGCATTTTTCACTTCAAAAAGTGATGCTTGGCCAGATACCTTTTTTGGGTTTTTTCATGAAGTGCCCACTGGGGTCCAATAACCTCTTGTCTGCATCCTTCTTGTCATCGGAATCTCTCCGCTTACGTTTTTTTGCTGCAAATGACAAGAAATCAGGCAGAACTTGAAATATATGTATAAAAATCATTAGTACACCAGGTAAACAAAAAAAAAAGATTAACTTTTTTTGCATAGCCACACTTTTCAAATCTTACAAAGCCCCATGCCATTGGATTAAAGACGGAACGCCACACAAAGGTATAAAAAGCTATTGAGTATATATGTTGAACGTATTTCACGCTAATCGGAGGTGCGGGAGAAGGATAACAAACTAAACACAGACAGGTACATATGCTGTTTGTCCTGGGCTGTAGACCGGTGCCTGGGTCTACACAGCAGTGCGCTTAACCACTGCGGAGCCACCGCTCCACCCTGCCGTGTGCACGAAGCTTCATTAACGACGCTCTCGGTGACAGATGCGTAAGCACGTCTGTTTCCAAGCGGTGGGCCCCCGTGTGACCGACCGCAGGCCGCGCGAGCCAAATCCGGCCAAAGGGGCCTGTAAGTTCCCCACTGCCGCTTCCAAACCCAACCACGCGGGGATCCGTGTTCCACGCGAATAAATGAGAAACGCACAGAAGGGCTTGGGCTGCTTCTTGCGCAGGCACGACACGACGTATCTCTCGAGCTCGCGCAGCGTCGACGGCTTCAGCGTCTCGAAGTCGATCTCGATCTCGTCCGGGTTGGACTCGCGCAGTGAGGGCTCGCGCGCCTGGATGATGTGCACCACGCGGCCCAGCTTGTCGCCCGGCAGCTTGTTGATGTCCAGGCTCAGCTGCCGCTTCTCGTCGTAGGTCATGGGCCGCGAGTCCTCCACGCCGCCGACGCCAATGGCGGCGACGGCGCCGATGACGCCGCCGCTGATGACGCCGCTGCCGACGCCGCCGCCGGCATCTTCGCTCAGGGGCGCCTCCTCCTCGGATTCAAACTGCAGAGCGCCAGACTTGAGCTTCTTTGGAGGCCTGTGACAGTGCGGGCGGAGGAGGGGGCAGCAGTTTCATTGTAATTCGTCTCATCACCATCATCATTAATCCACTGCCGGATGAAAGCCACCCAAAGCTGTTGTCATCCTTCACGCTCCTGCGATGCAGCAATTATGCAGGCACCTACGCACGATGTTATTCTCCCTCACAGACCATCATTCCTTCTCTTGACGTGTTCTACCCAAGCTCACTTACATTTTTAAATGGCTAATATGACGTCTATCACTCTATGTCCGTCCTTGTGGAAGAGGTGCGTAGATGAAACGTTCGTCATCTGGCCACATGGCCGACCAGCTCTGAACCAATTCCTCAACCACATTAATTCCATACACTCAGCCATCAAATTCACCATGGAGGTGGAAAAGGATGGCAAGCTAGCATTTTTGGATGTTCTATTCGAAGAGACCAGATGGCTCAATGGGACACTGTCTACAGGAAAGCAACTTATACGGATGCCTACCTAAAACCTGACTCCCACCACCATCCATCCCAGAATTCTCTCATCAAAACTCTACACCATAGAGCTCGATGCATATCCGACCATCATCACCTAGCCAGTGAACTGAAACACGTGCACCAAGCTCTCAAGATGAATGGATATTCGGACCATACAATCCGTAAAGCTATCACCCCAACCGTTGGGAAAGAACCATCTGAGGACCCAATCAAAAACCATCACCTTGCCATACATAGCAGGGGTCACCAAAATCTTGAGCAAACACAAGATCCAGGCTCGATTTAACACAGTACATAAAATTCGTGATCTGATCTCATCTGTGAAGGATAGGATCCCTGATAGGCAATACCCCAGCGTGTCTACAAACTAAGCTGTGTCTGCGGCAATAATTACATTGGGGAAACTAAGCGACATGTCTCGGTCCGTGTTCGTGAACATAAGGCAGATCTGAAATACGGTAGGACCAATACCTCGGCCGTGCCTGATCTTTGTTTTAATGCGGTGGGCTTACACGAAATACATTTCTCTAACAACAAAGATTTGTTCATGAAGCCACCCATATATACAGACACAGACACAATTTCAACCGAGAGGATGGGTACAAACTCAGCAATCATTGGAAAGACGTTATCAACCAGTTCAAGCCTTAACTGACTGTGATGTTCCCATCCTGCCACGTTCCGATGTTAATTTATAATTTTTTCCCCGTGGCTTCGGCTCTCCGATTTCACATCAACAGGTTTAATTTCTCGCGCCAACGTGGCCACCTCTGGACGCCGGCCTCTGCGTCGCGGTGGCTCTGCTATCTTACATGAACATGCTAATTTATCATATTAACAAAGCCACCCGCGCACTCGTCGCAGAGGCCGCTCTCCGATCTTACATTAATAAGTGAGGGCTTCACCATTCTGGCGAATTGCCCGATGATGCTGGATGTAATTACCAGCGAAACGTCGTACTCAAAAACTGTAAATGTTCTGGATTCACTCTTCAACACACCGGTGGGCTAAAGTAGTGAACTATTTGTCTTTTGTCAACGTGACACTTGTGCCGATTGGCCGTGTCGGGTGGTGGAGGGTTACGACACATTTATAAATAACGCGATCTAACCCAAAAACGTTTATTATGAATAATATTGGTCGCGAAAGCCTCCGTGTTAAACCAATTTCTCACATTAACATCACTAGCCCCGCTCACTTCGTTTATGACCCTAGGACTACGCCCTATAAAACAGTCTGGATTCAGCAGCTTTCCTTCTGATGATGATCGCTTGTGTTGTGATTGAAATGTCGTACTTTTTATATTTATTATTTTTATTAATTTATACCTATCTACGTGACTTTACCGAAAGACCCGAATAATTTGTTTAAGGTCTCCAATCCATGCTTAAATCTTCCTCAGTAGAATTCCGAGCACGCGCCTAACATTAATAATAATATAACATTCAAAAACACTATTTATACACAACATGCCCAATAAATTACACTCCTCTGCCCTGGCCAACACTACACCTGGCCAATTTCATCGCCATAGTGCTAACGTTTACATACCCCAGCAGGTACTCATTTAAGGTTGCGTCGACCTACAGGAGGCTCAAGCCCGGTAGAAATATTCATCAGTGATGTCAGTCACGAGTGGTCGGGAATCAACCTTGGGTCGACAGGTTTGTAGGGCGGCGCACTAACCACTGGACTGCCGCTTCTCCATCCCCTAAAACAACAACCGCGGTCGTCATTCGCCACCGAGTGCCGATGACTTCACCACAGCACTTGTGCCAAGCTCGGTGAGCTTTCGAGGCCATCACCCGAAGCGCGGAAGAACTCGCTGGCAGGGCACCGCGACAGACCCCGACGGCGATCACAATGCGCACACGCACACACAGAGGCACCTGCGCAGGAAGCACGGCAGTGCACCAAATCGAGGGCCTTACTTGCCACTGTTGCTGTTGGGCTTTGCCACTGGCTTCTTGGGCTGACCCAGGGGTTTGTTCTTCTGCAGCTTAAGCTTCTTGTCGTCCTCTTCAGCGCCCTCCTCCTTCCTGCGGGGTTTCTCCGTGCGCTCGCGATCCTTCTCTTTCTTCTTCTTCTCTTTCTTCTTCTTGGGCTTGGAGATGGGCGCCTGGGACAGCGAGGCCAGCTGCTCGTGCAGTGCCTTCAGCTGTCACAAGACAGAGGTGATTTAACATTTAAAGATGACGGTGAATGCTGCATCGTGGGTACAAAACACTTTGTGACGATCGCACAACCGGCAGGAGAAATCAAGCGAGTCGCGTGCTTCCCAGCGACGCGCGATTGTCCTTGGAATAATTAATTTACCCAGAATGCTACACTCAAGGCCGCGATTCGGGACGACGGGTTGAAAATACTACACTCTCAGCCACGCGGGCGAGATGGCGTAACACGGCGCGTGGCGTTTGTCGAGTTCTTATCTTTGTTCACAACAACTTGGGACAGGAGGCTGCAAAGTCAGGCTAAAGCAAGATGTCATCGGGCAAACAAAAGTTGAGTACGCGTTCACTGAACAAAAGGGATTCTTTGGGGGACACGACATTAAGGTTTCTGTATGAAGAAGGCAATAATTGTAGGTGGATCAGGATCAAATTTAAGAAATATCCACTAGGCCACAGCTCCCCAAGTGATCACAACACACCGACACAAACACCCCATTTCCACTGCCACAACCGCAGTACGGTTGCTTTTCCATCGGTTATATTCGGAACAAAAAAAAGCCACCTGAATCCAAACTGGGGGCCAAGCAGGTCCAGAGTTGGGGCTAATCACACGTTCAATGTGTGCGACGTCAGTCAGCACGGCGACGCGTCCTCTCACGTGCGCGTGACGTCGACTCGCGCAGTCAAAAAAAACAAAACCTGCCGCCTCCTTGAGCCGCACTGGGCTGGCACGAGGAAGCGCCCGGCGAGGCTCGGCAGTGCAATGGAAAAAGCAATAAAGAGATAACATTGTTACAGCACCTGCTCCTGCAGCTCGGCGAGCCGATTGGCTCTCTCCTTCTCGGACTCGTCCGAGCTGTCGCTCTCCGAGGTGCTGGGGCTGCTGCTCTCGCTGGACGAGGGCACCACGACCTCGGGAGCAGGCGGCGGCGGAGGGGCGGCCGTGGGGGCGGCAGTTGCGGCGGCGGGTGCCACAGGTGCAGGAGCAGCAGGAGCAGCAACAGGAGCAGCAGCAGGGGCAGCAGCAGGGGCAGCAGCAGGAGCAGTAGCAGGAGCAGGAGCAGCAGGAGGAGGAGGCTGGGCGACCACCACCGGCTCATCGGGCATCTTAGCGAAGCGCATCTCAAACACGTCCTGCGAGCAAACATTTGAGATTAATGCGAGGAACCAGCCCTGGGTCCCAGAGACCCAGCCAGGACGATGTCTTTGGAATCATACACACACTATAAGCTCCTGCAAGACGTTATACTCAACATTTAACGTCTTATTGCATCAAGGGATGAGTCATTTTGTGAGGTAATATATATTATTGCTTGTAGAGTGTTGTGCGCTTGCATCCTCACGTTAAACATGGTCCAATGTGAGCTTGAATGGTCAATCATTATAATGGTGGTAAATGATAAGTTAACATTTGTCACAGGTATTTCATTTTCATGAAGGACCATTATTATTAGAACCCTCTTGTACACTAGATGTTCATTGTACACATATATTCATATATAACGAAGAGAGGGGAATGCTATTTATCATTGCAAATATAGAAACATAAAATCACTATCTTTGCAATGTTGTTTGTTTGGATAAGCACTGCTGATTCAATTAAACATTAGTTTAAAAACCAATAGGCTAAAAAACATCACAGCCAGCTAAATAAATGTATTGGTCCTATATAGTTTAGGTTATTCAATGAGGTGCATGTAGGACAGAGTGAAGAAGGATAAGTAATCCGCACGTGATGAAGTCCACTCAGTCACACAGAGAGCTCTCAATCAGGACGCCCAAGCTTGGTGGTGTTTCATTCTTCACCTGAGGACGGCTGCTTGCGTTGTAGCCGAAACGTCGTGAGAATTATTTTATAATGTTTCATTTTTATTATTTATTATTTCCCTTCTACGTGACTTTACCGAAAGAACCAAGAAAATGAATCCCTGCAGTCACGAAAGCTTTAAATCGAAATTCAGGACGCCCTTGTCAAAACATAGCTTCAATGGCACCATGGTCCTGTTTAAGAACGCATCTCGCTAGATGGGAAAGCCAGCCTCTGTTTACTAGCCAGGAACAACCGCAACAGATGATCCGCGACTACACAAGACACACGGCGTGCCGTGCCGAGCGTGGGAGGTGGGCCGTTACCTGCAGCTTGCGCGCCATAGCCACCACCTCGTGGTCAGGGGGGTTGTACTTGTAGCAGTTGGAGAACATGAGCCTCATGTCGTCTGCAAACTCGTGGGCCGCGGCGTATTCCCGATTGTCCAGCTTCACCTGAGCACGGGGGCATTTGCGGGAACAAAACGCAACGCGTCTTCGTCGACACCGCTAAGCCTCCGCGTGAAGCGGTACATCTCGCGGGTGCCGGAACACGTGGGGGTATTTAAACACATTCTTGCGGAGGGAGCTGGTAGGAACGTTGGGTTGCTCGGTCAATGGCCAGGGTCAACGGCGGCGTGGTGTATTCCGCAAATATGCCCGACTGTGAGGGCGGGCACAAGCCGGCGTGAGTAGGTTAAACGTTGAGTTTTATAAGGGCATCACGGGGTGACCAGCCCCTCCCTAACCAGCCCCACCCCTCCCACCCCCCACCCAGCCCCTCCCCACCCTCCCCTCCTAGCTCCTCCCCACCCTCCCCACACAGTCCCTCCCCACCCTCCAGTCTCCAATTTGTGCAGGAGCATCACAGCTACATGACTGACATTATAAATACGTATCTTCTAGATAATTTCCAGCAAAAAGTGCAGCTTGCAGAACAGAGGAGTGGCTCAATCGTTTTGTTGCATTTTAAGATGGGACTCACCACGCGACATTTTAGACACTTTGCAGCCAGTGGCTAATTGGCCTGTGGAGAGTGGCGTCCCAAATGCACGTACAGGCAGTCCCCTACTTACGACGGAGATGCGTTACGACGACCCCATCGTAAGTCGAAAATATCATAAGTCGAAGATGGCCTAGCCTACCCAGGAATCTTAAAGAATGGTGATAATTGAGCAAAACAGAGCAATTTACAGTACCGTACTGTATAAACTATATACTGTATACTGTATTGCACGGTAAAATGTAAAGTAAAAAAGTAAAAAAACCAAGGTAAATTCTTAGCCTACCTATATGAACTGCAATGTATAGAAAGTTTTTTCAGGAAACAATCCTATCTGCTATAAAAACTTTTGAACGTATCGAATCGTGGTAACCTTAAAATGAAATCGTAACGTTTCATATTGTACTGTACTCACCAAGATGCTGTCCGTCGTCGGCATACTTGAATCACGTTAGGTTGTTGATGGCAATTTTGTCGTATCGCTATCACCATCGTAAGATCGAAATATCGTAAGTCGGACCATCGTAACTCAGGGACTACCTGTATTTGTAGGAGGGCAATGTATTGGAGCCAGCTGTCAAAACTCTGCATTTGAGCCTCGGCAGAAAGAGTCTCTCACTTGCTACCAGATTTCTTGCCATCAATGCCCAACAACAACAACCACCATTCGCCACTAAGTGCCGGTAACGTCACCAGGGCGCTTGTGCCAGGCTGTGTGCACGTTAAGGCCACGTGAAGTGTCGAACTCCCGCTGGTAGGTCACGGGACAGACCCAGGTGCCGTGGGTCGACTGACTAAGAGGACTGGCCGATGCACCACCTGTGCCCCACAAGTTTAGCTGGATATTTTTCCCGTGGCTTTCTGGTAATTAATTGAAGTTGGAGGGGTTACCAGCCCCTCGCACCCATCCAGAGCCCCCATCAATGCCCACACACACACACAAAAAAAATCCCCATTGTTAAAAAGCAGTAACTTTAGCTAAGCCTATCTCAATAAATTACCAAATGTGTCAACCGCATCGGCTTTGGAGAGAGTTCCCCCCCCCCCCCCCCCATCACATCCGCAGCCTCGTGCCCTCACGTAAATCCTAGATCCCCCCCCTCCTAATCGCCGATTATGGGCGACGCGGATTTGGCGGTGACACAGCCGCACAATAGCCGGCTCTTGTTAAAATTGCACAGAGGATGTGTAACCTTGGCGAGGAGCAAAAGGAATGGCTTTGTTTGGCATCGCCCACGGATGAAGGGTCGATTCATGACAAAATACCGATGGCATTTGGACGAGCTTTAGATTTACAAAGTGCGCGCGCACACTTTCCTTACGCCCATTCAATAACAGATTTACAACTTGTGACAACATTGGATTTTTGTTTGAGCTACAAATAAACAACATCTCAAGCTTGTCGCCATTAGAGGGTGCTCAAAAAAGCGCCTCCCCCAAAAAGGTGGTTTTGGCCTACTCTTCCACACTGGCCAGACATCTAGGCACAGGTGGTAAAAATACCCACATTATACACCACCACACGCAACCTGCCAATTCACCGTGTTGTACCCATTCGTAATCCTGGGCAGACAGAAGCGGTGAGGATTTAAGAAATGTGCCCAGATTTTAACCGCCTCGCCGGAAGACGGAATCAAACCGGCGACCTCTGGAAGGCAAGTCCAGCGTGATGACCATCAGCATCCCTGTGAAAAATGTGCGCGCTGGCCGTTATTCTAGCTACGTGCCAGCGACAGGGTCCCAACTGCGCTTACCTTAACGGTGCTCAGGTCCATGGGGTGCTTGATAATGTCGTGGTAGTCGTGAAGACCGAGGGACTCAGCGTCGACCGGCTTGTAAAAGGGCCACGCGTATGCCGCATGCTTTTTCGCAAGCATTTCCTGCAGAGCAAAACACGGTCCACAGGGAATATCGACCGTCACGAACCTCGTGCCATGCATTCCACTGTGGTAACGTTGGGTCAATGAGATTCTATATCCAAGCGGATCCGGTTACAGATATCCTACCGACTTCGAATGATCCCTCTTAATGATTAGAATGTTGTTCGCGAATCAGACGAGCTATGTTCGATAAAGCATATCGGTCAAGTGTTCAAAGATGTAGCGAGTGCATTGAGATTGGTGGCAGACATGCAGATGCTTTTAAAGACAAAATGTTACTTTCCCCATTGTTTTCCCCCATTATTTGAGCGGGGTATTTATAAACGGACCACTCTGCATTTCAGCCAAGGAATGTTTAAAGCTCGGCAATCGTCCACAAAAAGCCAACCCCTGGCAATTTAGCGACTTAGGCTAAACCTTTTGCATGTAGGCGTGAAGCTCAACAACAATGGCCTACTGTGGAGAAAAATCTAATTGGAATAATAAAGACTGCGAAAGAGACGACTTTTTTGTCGTTAAAAACATGCGTCGTCGATGGATTAACTGGGAACAATGATGACCGTCGTGTAATTCACACTCGTGCTTGTTTAAAATGTGTTGCGTGTTAGTTGATCCCGATTTGTGTTATAGTACTAACAGAAACACTGTCACATTACTCTCTCAAAACTAAGTGCCTGTAACACTCAATGAGGCATGAAAGTAAAGCAAATTTTACTCCTAACCCACCCAGCCCCTGGGCCCATGAGACATGTGGCTTGCTTGGTACCACCTGGGCTGAAATATACTCCTAATGTCCAACCGAGAGAATTGTCCACCACAGGCAGACAGAAACACCATATGTTTCCCATACACACTTCATATGTCATACTCCGTTGTGTGTTTCATATCATGTGATTTTTTTTCCTCTCAAAAAACGATCATTTCCATCAAACGAAAAAGAAGCACCCTTCTTTTAACAAAAAATTTCTGATAAAAAGATGATACCATGCTGACCTTGTTATCAGACATATTTCTGATCCAAACATAAAACAAAATTCAAGGAAATAATTGTTAGCATAAGCAGCCCCATGTGGTACCGTTAAATCATTTTTGGCCCAATGCCTCAAGGGAACCAACCGTGCACGTTAGAGATGCTCAGCCGGTACGCCTTCAAGAGGCTGATATTATCTCTTGGCCTACACCGGTCACTGCTCAGCGACGCAGTGCGATCCTGGCGTCAACCAAGCGGGTGTCCGACATCGGGGGTCATTTGAACATCGAGGTCGCGCAAAGGTGGCATCAACGTCGTTGACAGCAAGCGTGGTCAACGTCGGCCCAGCCCTTACTGCCCTACACGCACCCCCCTTCTCCCACCTTGATGATGGAGCTGCAGTGCTTGAGCTGTTCCGACATCTGCCGCACGCGTCTGCCGGGCCCCGGCTGCTGCGGCGTCTGCTGCGGCGTCGCGTTGGCGGGGGAGGCCACCGTCGCTGTTGGCGTGGTGGTGGTCATTGTCATGGTTTTCGTGGAAGCCGCCTGCTGCTGCTGCTGCACCGCAACCACCTGCTGGGGAGGAGGCGGCTGCGGCTGCTGCTGCTGCACCTGTTGCGAGTCGGGGAGGTCTTTGGGCAGCGTCTTGGCGGGGCGCGCGCTCTCGCGTCGAGCCAGCACCCTGGGCGGCGTGGGCTCTTCGCTGTCTGCCAGTGCCAAGGGCACCGGCGTGGTGGTGTCTGCTTTCCTCTTGACGCCTTTGCGCTGCGCCTGCCCAATTGGTACCACGGGGCGAAAGCGAGATCGTTAAGGGAAAGGCGACACGCTGAACAACAGGGCTCTTATGCTACGGGAGCTGCGGTGCTGTAAATTGGTTAACACGCTGGACTTGTAATCCAAAGATCGCCGGTTCAATTTAATCTCTCCGGAGGGGAAGATGAAACGATGGGGCAGCTCTCTTAAATATCCCTCTGCCCCTGTCCATCCAGCAGCAGCAGCAGTATATATGGGTTCAACAAGATCAGCCGATCTGAAGGTAGCACGTGGTGAGGTAAAGTGTGGGTGCTCCATGTTTTCCAGGATGCCTGGCTGGCGTGGAAGAGTAGGCTGAAGGCCCTCTGATGGGGCTCTCTAGAGCTCGGAGCCTTCCTCCAGCAATGATGTGAGCAAGTAATTAAAAGAGGACGTGGAACACCGAGCGCCATGTGAAAAACAAGCGTGAAAAGCGAGCTTGAAATGAGAGATACAGGTTTAACAGGTTATGCAATGTTTGACAATGAACACGTTGATATGCAAAGTTGTCTGACTGCACTCTGGACACAACTTATGTTATGAACCAACCTTCCTCTAAGTCAGACGTAATGATAACATGTGCCAGGGTCTCCTCAATACCAACAGCGAGTCATCGTTTGCCTATTTCATTGAGATATTAATCTGGCCCCAAGTGTTATTAATGTGAAGTCATCTCTGTTTTGTATGGCATGCCATTTATATCGGGAGTTTGTATAGTGTTAGGGGCACCTGTGAGACAAGCAAAACACACACAAAACAGGGGGAGAATAAAGCTGTTTTTTTGGTTTCAATAATCACGGTTACGGATTACAGGCCAAAAAAAACGACAAACGCCCAGCACCAAACAGCACGAATAAAAATGTAAAACATAAGAATGAAAGCGTGTCGTAAATTGAGCAAGGTTATCAGAACTTAGTAAAAGACATTTAGAGGGAACTCCAAATTCACAGTGATTTCCAAGACTGAATTTCCTCATCTCTTCTGATTTGTGCACAGCCAAGCACTAAATGTATTCTCTACAACTACACAATTACAATTAGAATGTTGCACATCACCTACCTATATGGAGTGAATTATTCCAGGCTCTTAGGAGCAGCCAAGGAGAATGAGCGACCACCCACCAGTGCAGAGTTTGGATGAGGGTGAGATTACAGTCCAAGAAACACTTCTCTAATTGAGTCGCAACTTCGACAAACTGAGGGCCACAGCAGAGGTCGCAAACGGATTTTGATTCCTTACCCGTACCCGGCCGCACCAGGGTCACAAATGGGTACCCGTACCCGGCCGGGTTAGGGCCGGGTACGGGTACCCGTTCCCTACCCGTACCCTACCCGAAATGAGTGACAATCGGTTACTCACCAGTGACTCACGGCCTACCCGTACCCGGCCGCACCAGGGTCGCAAACGGCTATCCGTACCCAGCCGGGTACGGGTAGCCGGGTATCGGGTAGGGTACGGGTATCAGGTACCCGGTTGCGACCTCTGGGCTACAGTCGGCAAGTACAACATAATCACGGAAACGGAGGGGCCCGAGAGGGGGGGGGGGGTGGGCAAGCCGCCTCACCTTGGTCGCTGGCGGTGTGGCGACAGACGGCACCGGCTGCGGCAAGGCTTGGATATTGAGCGGCGTGAGCGACACCATGGGCTGCGACATGAGCTGCGTCTGCGAGGCCGGCTGACTGGACACGGCGCTCGCCACCACGGCGCTGCCCACGCCGGCAGGCACACTGGGGCCCCTCGGTCCGGCCGGCTGGTGCTGCTGCTGCTAGCGCCGCATACACGCAGGATGGAGCCGCGAGCAACGGTTACGAGCGCGCCACCGCTTCGCGCGATCGGTTTTCAGCTCTCGTCTTGCTCACGTAACGCAGCGGTACGCCGGACTATAGGTGTGGTGAGTGACCAGACTCCTGAAACAACCCTGAAATGCAACTGTGTTATCTCCTTCTGTTAATGTTTAAAAATGGTATTTGTGCAGTTTGCCTGTCTGGGAAAGCCTCATTCTCAATACACTTATTGTCAGTAAAGTCCTGCATTGGGATTTTTATCCAATTCCTTTTCAAGGCGTCTTATGCATGTGGGAGGGAACTGGAATGCCCAGACTACACCGGCGTTCATTTCAAAGCGTTCAGACGTCTCAATACACACCTCCGATTAGCATGTGACTAGGTACTTTGTGACAGAAGTTCAACATACATACATGTAATACACAAATTCATTCTTGTAATGCTCTCCTCTGTAAGGCACGGAGGAGCCATACCTTTCATAATATTCAATCAGCTGCTGAGAAATCATATGGTCGTTAAAATCAGTGGGGTTATCGATAAATGGGTCACCCTGCACCCTGTGATGGGAAAACTCTCAAGGTCAGCACAGACAGGTCCATGAACCCATTAGTGCCGAGTTACAGGTTAGTGCCACCATAGCCGACAAACATTTTAGTCACCCAAGACATCATCATCATGATCATCATCATGATCATCATCATGATCATCATCAGCCATAGTCAATCCACTGCTGGATGAATGTCTCCCCAAGCCAGCGCAGTCTTTCCCGATCCCGGGATGTAATAATCCACCTAGTACCTGCACATGAACGGGTTTATCGCTCCATCTCCTCGGTGGATCTCCTCTTCGACACGTCCCATTACGAAACCCCAGAAATCAGTTGTTTAATTAAAAGATAAAGGCATTAAAAACATGTATTTCTTTCAGTAAGGTGTCCTGAATACTGTGACTGCCACTAGCAAAACACCCGGTAACTCTACACCATATAGACCTTAATCCTAATGTCATATCTTATGCCGAACGTTACACATGCATTAGGTTATTACAGCACAACAAATGTTCGGCATAAAAACAAATGTCTGTACGTATGTTGAAGTTGTTTCGCACCGTATGTAGCCAACCGTGCTAAACGGTGGTACGGAAAGCTGTCTTTAAAGCTGCAGCTGATGAGAATCACTCAACGAATGACACGATTTAAATCCTCCCAAAATTATGTTTCGAGTGCTCATGATATGTCAGGGCAAACCCCCCCCCTTCCCCCGCGCATTTGTCAACCTGATCATTCCAAATTAAAAAAATTTGGCCACGTGGCCAAAGTATTGCGGTGAGAAGCATGAACATTAAAAAACACACGGAACACTTGGTGCTGGCAAGCAACGCACTTATTATTACCACAAGCAGAGATGTTTAACATCCAGCTAATGAGACACCTAGCTCAGTTGTGATACAAATGTTCTCTGTGTAGAGCGAAGGGAACACGGAAATAAGGGCGTGGGCCATGTTATTAACCCCACCAAGCAAACCTGATCCTCCACAAGATGCACCACCCAAGTTTAATCGTTATATTTTCTTTTAAACAGAGTTGCCGAACAAAGGCCCAGACGGCCAAAACATCGAGCAGTCAGCAACAATCAACACAATCAAACTTTCAACAGATCAATAGTTAACAAGTTTCTTGCATTGGGCAAGGTAATACGAGCTTGAGAAAGATTAACTATGGGAGGGAATTCCAAAGTGGAGCAAGTGCTTAGGAAGAAGCAGAAATAGGTACTGTGACTTACAGTTTGGCGAGTGGGTGGTGGGTGGTTGAGTGTGTTGTTGTGACTTGCAGTGTAGTGGTTAAACAACACAATGTGGGCGAGACAAAACGGTCGGTCTGGTAGACAGTCCTCAACATGGGTGTAGGAATCAATGAGTGGAGTTGATGGGGACAGTAGCCATGGCAGTAATGATAGAAGAGTGATACGTTATCGATATACGATGTAATAAAGTCAATTTCGGTCCTAGTTGTAGCGTTACGACAAATGATTGTCTTGCAACTAAAACATATTATAGCTAAAAAGTCTATTCGATCTCCGAATTTCAAAAAAGTAAAACATTAATCAGCCTCTTGGATTTCCATACCAATATTGACGTGCAACAGAATTTGTTTAAACAAGCAAACGCTGGGCCGGTTTCAACCTTCCAGGTCTAATCAGCCGAGTCAAGCTTATTATTGGCAAGAGCACGGCGTATAAAATCCGAGAGCCCGTAGACCATTATCGAAAATGTATAAAAACAAAGACATAAGGCATAGAAGCTTTAAAATACTTTTATCGGCCAGGGTAAGAGTGTTCGTACTGGGAGAACTATTCGAGGCATGCGTAGTAAAAACATAACCCAAAAGTAACCAGTCCCAGCTTGAGTCATAACAGTATAATGCACATTTGTAATGACAGTGCTTTAAAAAAAAACAGCTAAACAGGAAGAGCAAGACTGACAGAAGCTAATACATTACATCACTATTATTATCAGTCAGAACCACTTAATGTAATATTAAACTTCCCAAACATCAGTGTTATTGCAGAGTGAAAACCCCAATGCCAAGTTCAGATTGCTTATCAGCACGTGCGCTTGCCGATTTGTGATATACCATTGTCAGAGATGCGTTAAACAAGCACTGGTCATCACTTACTTGCTCACACTTACAAGACCTGTTTCCTTACACGCGATCCAAGAGCTTAGCAATTGAGTCACTGAAATATTCCCTGAAAGCAGAATATCACGGTGACGAGTCATCACCCCAAAGAGTGTAGACGTGGCTCATGGAAGTCCTGCAGCAGATGACTCACTTCTTCTCTATGCTTGACGTAGATGACATGTCAAGAAAATATCCAATAAACCTGTGACTCATGCGGTTATTACGGCAGCGATCCATACTACTGATGAACAGAGAACAGTCCGTGGGACCGAACCCACACATCAATTATGAATCAGAACTGTGGCTACAGAACCTGAATAACAAAACAATTCTTCGATGACCAATACTGTAATGTATCTACAATAATAATTTACGATGAATCGAAAACTAAAACGAAACAAATTTTTGTTTCTATTTAAAGCTTTCGTGACTGCAAGGATTAATATTATTGATTCTCTCGGTTAAGTCACGTAGAAGGTCCGTGGTGCTGACGTTAAGAAAAAAACGCAACTTTTTTCCAAATTTTCTTGGTGTGGTTTTCACACCTGATGATGATTACTTGTGTTGCAATTGAAACGTCGTGAGAATTGTATTGTTTTATTTTTTCCCTTCTACGTGACTTTACCGAAAGAACCAATAATATAAACAAATTTTATTTTACCAGGTTCGACCCCCTGAGCTATGTAGCTCTTTTTCAGAAGTCACTTGGCCACAAATGTTCGCTCAATGAAATGGCTCATCATGTTGAAATGTATAGAAGGCAAATACTCGAAAACGCATGTTTCTAAATGTAAAAGGAATAAACGGAGGACCCAGAGAGAAATCCACGTCACCTGGGGGAGAATGTGCAAACTCCCAATATATACTCTTTGGTTCTTTCGGTAAAGTCACGATGGTAGAAAATTAATAGATCACGACGTTTCGATCGCAACGCAAGCAACCGTCATCAGGTGAAACAAACACGGCAGGAAAACTACTGACGTAGGATAGAAAGAGCTGCTGCAACAAGAGTTTATACAGGTAGTCCCCGACTTACGATGGAGATGCGTTACGACGACCTCATCGTAAGTCGAAAATATCGTAAGTTTAAAATGGCCTCGCCTACCCAGGAGTCTTAAAGAATGGTGATAATTTAGAAAAACAGCAATTTACAGTACCGTACTGTATAAACTATATACTGTGTGTATTTATTAATTACAATACTGTATTGCACAGTAAAATTATAAGTAAAAAACAAGGTAAATTCTTAGCCTACCTATATGACCTGCAATTTCATTGAAAGTTTTTTCAGAAAACACTCCTATCTGCTATCAAAACTTTTAACATGCATTGAACACCGAGACAACTTAATTCCGTCGACCGCTGGTGAGAGTGAGAGGCATCACCACGCAAGGCGGGAGATGCGTACAGTACATCCCGGCAGCGTCCCAACGTACAGTATCGTACCTCGTACGCTGCTGCGTTTGCCTGCCGCGCGAAATGTAAAATATTTTACAATTTTGTCATATCGCTATCGCCATCGTAAGATCGAAATATCGTAAGTTGGACCACCGTAAGTCGGGGACTACCTGTATAGGATTTTGGTGGGCCCAACCCAAGGGTAAGTGGGCGGAGCTAGAGAAGGAATTTGAACGTAAATGTGAGAGATTAGCATGTCAATGTGAGATGGCCCAGCAACCGGAGGTGTCCCAATATATAGGCAGAGTCGAGATCGATCCCACAATCTCCTGCATACCAGGCGAGGTAGTTTCCATCTTGCCACCGTGGCACCCCAATCCCAAATGAAGGCTTTCCCACACCAATCATGGGGGGCTGTTTGATAAAAAATTATCCATGCTGGTCAATGTGGGAATGTGTTTGAAGCTTATTATATTTAACCTGGTGAGAACTCGAGAGACCAGGATAGTCCAAGTCACAATTGTGACTTGCTTCACCAGAATAATCAAAGAAAACAAACAAAACAAAGGAGAACTGGGCGAGATAGAAACAGTTTGGATATCACTCGCCTCTGTTGTTAGCCGTGGCTGGGAATCGAACTCATGTCGCCAGGTTCCCAGCAGTGTGCTAACCACTGCGCCACTGCTCCACCCCAACATCTCTACACTTTTATACGTGATGAAAGCATAAGACAACATATGGTTTGACAAAAGGCAAATACTACTCGGCTATGCACGTTGAACTTCTTTCGCACCGTACATAGCCAACCATGCTAAACGGAGGTGTGGGGAAACTAAACGTACGCTGCCGCTCCAGTCCATCAATGTACTTACTGATGCACATGTGCATCCCCCCCCCTTCCCTTCAACGGTGACCTGCAAGGACACTCGAAACCGCTAATAAGAACCCACCGCACAGCTTTTAAAATGCTTAATGGAAGGTGAATCCAGTGCGATGACCTCAACCCTTTCCGCATCTGAGAAGCCACCTGCCTTTCCTTCTGTCCATTGTAACAGAAAGCATGAAAGGACATCAAGGTTTGTGTGAGATTTATAGTCTAACCGAAAAATCTTGGCTTTTGGTTCAGTCAAAAGCACAATAATCCACATGATGAAATGCGCCTTACAAATGTACATTATTATTTTATTACTGCTGCTGTGTCTATTTCACATGCCATTGCATCGTAGTGGTTACACTGTGCCTTACAATAAGGGTCTTCAGTTTGGTCCTGGGCTCGGCTGCCTTCACGTAAAGGGGGTTTTTGTCCATTCTCTTCCCCGGTTCTCCTATGGGTTTCCTCTGGGTTTGCTAGTGTGTCTCAGAAGATTGAAGCAGCATACAATGTAACTGGTATTGAACATCCCAAAGCGAAAAAAAAATCACTCCCATGGGATTACACAACAACAACATCACCCTCTACTGTGAAACACCTCGCTAGACCCTCCTGAAAAATTATTGAGACTCGGTGAGGCTTTCTTGGATAAACAAGCGTCATGATAATAATGGGTATGCATCTGTTATGTAATGCGCATACCATATAATTAACGCGAGAGCACGCATTGCCTCTCAATGCAATGCAACACTGCATCTGCCCAGCTACTGACAGTACAAAAGCCAGTATCAGGTTTCACACAGTAGTTGGTGGGACCTTTTTGGGACCACGACTAGCCCGTCACCCTCACCCTATTCGTATGGAGAACTCACATTCTCTTGCAAATTATAACATGGATATATAATACACATACTAGGAGTGGCCAACACAAATGCACATGAAAAGCAGGACACGCACACATACAACAAACCTGTACATACACATGACTAATGTGTACACACAATATTAACAAATACACGTGTACACACAGAAGCACAATACATTTTAGACACACAGACACACACATAACTACCATGTAAACACACAGCTACACCACACAGACACCTGTCACTCACACATACACAGCTTCCCTGCCACAATAACAGCCGCCATTCGCCACGAAGTGGCGGTGACTTCACCACGGCGCTCGTGTCTGCACACACAGACACACACAGAGCTAGCCGGACACACATACTCGGTTACACCACCCACACACAGCGCTAACCTGAACAGGCTGGAAGTTGGGATGAGTCTGTATCAGCGGGGCTGGATGCCTTATTGGTGGGACGCCTTGTCGGGGCGGCACAGGTTGCCGGGGTCCCGGAGCAGGCTGACGGATCGGCGCGGCTTGCCGGATCGGCGCAGCCTGCCTTGGCGGGCCCGGTTGCCTCGGCGGCGCCGGTTGACGGGCCACCCCCGGGGCGGGCTGGCGCAGCGGCGCCAGTTGCCTCGGGGGCACCTGCTGCCGTGGCGGCGTGGCCGGCCTCGGCGGCGCGGGCTGCCGAGGAGGGGGCGCGACCTGCCGAGGAGGAGGAGGGGGGGCGAGCGGCGGGGCGATCGCTTGCCGCGGCGTGGCCGGCTGCCGCGGAGGAGCCGGCTGCCGCGGAGGGGCGGGCTGGCGCGGCGGGGTGGCGGCCGGTGGGATGGCGGGGGTGGGGGGAGCGACGGGACGGGCCGGCGTCGAGCGCTGCACCACCTGCGGGAGGGACCGACACGCGACAACCATTACCGCCAACTCGCGACGCGGCAAGCTGGTGTCAAGAAAGTAAGGTACTTGGCGGAAGGGCCTTTGTTAGAGGGCCCCTCAGAAGAGTAATTTTGGCCTATGCTTCCACGCTAGCCAGATGTCTTGGAATAGATGGGAGTGCCCACACTTTACCCCACCACATGCCACCTGCCGACGAGTGGTAGAGGCGAGAGGATTCAAGAAACTCGCACATTCTTTCAAATGCCGTGCCGGGAGGTCGATCGAACCGGTGACCCCTAGATTGCAAATCCAGTTTTGGCGAAGGCAAATTAGCTCAACGTTGCACTGAAACTAGTACGTTGGAGGATGGAATAGAGAAGATTTTTGGGGGAAAAAAAATATAAATTTTGGAGGGATGCCACAACCATGGGAACTGAAACAAAATAATATTCTACACACAAGAAACGTACGAACAAACCCCGACTAATCCATTAATGTGATTTTACACGTTTCACATTCATGTTGGTGAGCCTAGGCCGCTAGTTACAAGTTGAACCCATGAAAATATTTATGTAAATTTTTTTGTCTTGTGCTTTGAGTAATTTAGCATGTAAAGGCACATTTCACGTCGACTTTCCTGACTGCAGGGATTCATATTCTTGGCTCTTTCGATAAAGTCACGTAGAACCAAGAATACAACAGCTTTATTTAAAATTTGTAAATGGCATACTGACTTTGTCAGAAGCCTCTTTCGGATAAACTGGGAGCACTGGTAATGTAAATTACTCGTATCTTCACCTGCATTTCACTTCGTTTTAGTGAAAAAAATATCCATGGCATTCTAAACCCACAGCAAACCTCAGTGTGTTAAAGAAATAATCTACCGCAGTTGGATAGTATGTTTATATGGGGTATTGATTCGTTTTAGATCGGCCATCAATTGTAATCCATTTTAATATGCAATGGTGCTGTCACATGGGATATTAAAACTCATTACACTTCTGGTGAAAGTAAACCATAAATTGATGGCAAAAATTATACAAATTTTACGACTCAAATGTAGACCATTACCCATCCGCCCAACTCAAGTCCAGATTTTTGTTACATCATCCACCCCTTCCATAAAGTACTGAATAATACATTTTGCATCTGATGAGCAGGATTGGTGAAGACCATGGTGCGTGACCAATTGGGGATAACAAGGACAGGACTTGATATAGGCCCGACTCAGGATGTGATACTGCGTACACACAAAAAAATGCGAGTCAAAGATGCACTATAAAGGATTTAACTGCTGTGAAATGTGATGTTAGCGAGCACCTATTAAGGCTGGCAAGGCGCAAGAGGACGTTGTGTGGCCGGCAACCATGCGTGGCCACCTTTGGCTTCCCAGTACTGATGTTTACACAAAACACCATGCAGTGTTGACCTAGGGGAGGCTGAGGATCGGTTCAGACATCACTCGTCACCAACGCTGGCTATGGCCTAGAACTCAACTGAGGCTACTGGATTAATAAGTGCGTGAACGACTACGCCGTCGCTCCACCTCCCACAAAAACAAAGATCACCTCCCGTGTAGCCTACATTGCTTATTGGGCCAATCGCTGTTGGCGAGCACCTATCGAGTTCAACATGGCGCACGAGGGGGGCGATGTAGCCAGCACCATGCCAGCCGACATACGCACCTCCACACAAATATGCACACGCGCGCGCACACACACACACAATCGACCCCTGGGAGGGACCTACATGAGGGGGAGAGTATCCAGACGGGGGCGAGTCTGCGTTGGAGACTTGCTGAGCGCTGGCTGCCGCTGCCGCCAGTGCGGCTGCCCTGGGAGGCCGCTGGGGCGTTGTCTGGCCCGGCAACCGCGTCCCCGCCACTCCGCCCGCCGGCACCGCCTGCTGCTGGCCTAGCCCGCCCGGCGACATGGCGGCTGGGAGGGCGCGAGGGAAAGGTACGTGTTGTTGACAAGCGCTCACGGCTAGTAGGAGTACAAGACACGGCGCTCCCGCTCGTTAATGAAAGTCCGCACAGGGGGAGTCGTTTTCCAATGCCTCAGTTTTTATTTGCCTTAAGCACAGCGACACACAATAGCGACACGAATACACTTGCGCGTTGCAATACCGAGTAAGCCTACACACTACGGCCGAGTAGGTTTTCGCGGGCTGCGCTGTATAGACCTCCGATGTGTTTCCGGACTACAGAGCGTGTCGTTCGGCAAGACGTCCGGCGTTTCGAACCCACGTCAAGGCATCGTGACAAAAAAAGCTCCCAGCACGTGGAGCAAAACGTCAGACATTGTGTCGAAGAACGTGCGGTACAATCCAAACAGACACCAGAGATCTAAGCCTACAGATGGATTTTCTCTTAACTGCATGAGAAAGTTAAGAATAGAACCAACTAAAAGAGGTACGTTTCTAAAGATAGAAGCACCTATGTTTACAACACTATAGAATCAGTATCAAGTGACAATTACACGCACCTGACAATTCTGTAAGCTACGTTACGTGCAGGAATATAGCTATAAAGATTTAAAAGTTAAGCGTAAAAAAAAACATCATCCCAGGTTTGCCTGGGTCTGTCACAAAAGTCCTACACTCGAAATTAGAGCTGGGCTATTCAGCCAAAAAGTAGAAATTTATAGATCTGGACAACAACACTGAGTGGTTTTGACGGAGCTATGTGGTCAGGGTCAAGGTACATTTTGCTGTCAGTGTCAATTTAAACATCGTTTTGTGTGCGATGCTAATACACGGAGTGACAGTGTCTCAGTATAACGCAACTGAGAATCAATGCCAAACAGGTAAACTTTCAACAATATCCTAAAGTATTAAATTGTACAATATGAATATACATGTGTTTTGAGCTATTTTAACAATTATACTTTGGGTGTATTTTCAAACACGCTAATGCCGTGCACATGATTGTTTGACAGTTTACATAAAAAAAGGACGGTTAATTCTTTATTTTGTTTAACTACATATTTCTTGCTTCTATCGACCAAACATGTTTTCATACGTTTGGATTTTGTTTAACCATGCTTTGAATCATTACATTATTATTATTCTCTAAAATGATTACAATTGCTGCAATTTATCAATCTAAAGTTTCTACTTATTTAACCCAGATCTCGTTTCAAAAAGTAGATGTTCAATCTCAATAGGCTGCCGGTTACATGTAAAGCCCTTTTTTTTATTAATCCATAAGCATTTGTGCCCCCGAAGCATTTAATTAGTAGTGACAGTAACGTTCCCTCCCGAGCCAGATGGAGATGACGTCACAACGTCACATACCGTGCATCGTCCAGAGATGGCGTCACACGTCATGAAGCCGTGGACAAGCGAGGACAGAACATAGCGTGTGACATCAACGCCTTGGCTGAAAGGGCTTAACCATTCAGCGCCGCGTTTATCTTTTGACCGCCAAATTTTGGGGAAGCCTTTGATCAATAGGGCGGTCCCTAATAGCAACACAACTTTACACAAACATTTTGAGTTGCGTTGGATCATCTTTATGAGAGGTACCGTGACCCCATGTTAGAGGCAGGCAGACAGACAGCGCTAATGAATTAATGCTGTCAACCTTAATTGTAAAAAAGCATTAAAAGGGAAATATATGCGTGCGTTTGTGTGTACGTGTGTGTTTGTATGCCCAGCGCAGCTCTGACTGGGCAGTAGGGTATCTTGTGTGCCCAGTGTGTGCTGAAAGGGTGGGGAATAGTGGGTGGAGGAGACCATCACGGGGTTTTACCTGTCGACTTGCGACCCCGGCCTCTGGGCCCGCGTGGCACGGGCTGCGCCAGCTCTATCTCCTCCACGGGCATCTCGGCCACCTTCTGCAGGAAGAACTTCTCCAGCGTCTGCGCCATGAGCACGATGTCGTCGTTGGGCTGTGGGGCACACGCGCGCGCAAGAAACGCTGCGTGCGTGAGATGCGCGGATATCGCAGAAGCAACGTGTCGGTTCATTGCTGGTGGTAACAGCTGCAGCGAAGGCGCAGCAAACCCAAAGGAAGCACTGTGACAATGCACTGCTGGTGAAACACGTGACAGTTAATCTGGTCAAGTGTGAATTTTTTTGCAAATATGCTGCTAGGAAAGGTGAACCTATAACACACTGGAGGAATAAACGATGTCTTTTAACTATGTAATCAATTGCTCTTCACATGCGTTTTGTACAGTATCTTGAGATGCAGTTGCAATCGGATGCTACATACATCAAAATGATATTGTATCACGATTGCAGTGATTAATTACATTACTTATTTTTTTTTACAAATTCACTTTCAAATAATTGTGAAGTATCATACATGGGCAGAAAGTATGTCAGTATATGCAAACATTGCTTTTGCCAGTAGTTAAAAAGTAAATATTGCTACGAGGTGAGGAACACAAAGATGCACCGATTAATCCAGGAAATGTGTTTTTGAGATAAATTATTTGGCCACTGGAGCTAATCCCGCCATATAAGAGATATAATAAAATCTAAATGGTAAATAACAAAAACATAAATGTTCCTTGAATGGAATCCAGATACATAATTGTGATAATGTAACAAATTCTAGATCTAAAGCTTTCGTTCCTGCATGGATTCATACTCTTTGGTAAAGTCACGTAGGTAAAACAATTAATAAACTAAAATAAGGCAACACAAGCCTCCCTCATGAGGGACGCTTGTGTTGCCTCAGAAACGTTGTGATTTAATTTAGTTGTTTTCATTTATTTATTTATTTGATTTATTGTTTTACCTACGTGACTTTACCAAAAAAACCAAAGAGAATGTACCAAATATCCGTGAATGAAAAAACGAGTAACTCATTACATTCTGAATAGCTATTATCGCTTTGAAAAGATGCTAAGGGATCTGCCAGTCTATACGTTTTCATACATTTCAATTAATTGTATCAAATGAAACGTTGTGCTTAAAATACAACCTGGAGCAGCAGTACACTACTAGCATGGCATTTCAGTGATTTGGAGAACATTGCAAGCTGCAGGCACTTGTTCACTGCAATTCAGCAAAACAACTTTCTCGCAGCCAGCAAACGGCACAAAAACAATGTTCTCAGCAGAACGTTATTTTCACGAATAAAAATTTCAAGTGTTTTTGCGGCACACCATTATTTTTTCTCAACAACTGCATTTCACCCCAACACAAACAAATGCCAAATTTAATTCCAGTCAGCGGCAAGCTCCGACGGGAGAAATAATCATGCCGCGTGTGATGTCACGCACCCACGGCCACAAGCACACACGCGCCCCAATGTTCTCTCGACTGCTGTCGACAAACACGCGAAGCTAAAATATTTTCAAGAGGGCCACGAGAAGCTGTCTGGAGCGGCAAAAATGCGGGTTTGCTAAAAAAAAAGATACAAATCGCCGAGTGATCCACGGAAAACGTTTCCAAAAGCTGTCGGGAAGCATGACTCGCGCTCTCATTTGAAGGCCCAATGCATACCAAGCCTTATCGTGTGTGAAAGGCATCACAACAGTCATGCATAACCATTTACTGCAAAGATCGCAAGGTAATAACACAGCCTCTTAGGACACCCAAGTTCTCAAACTTATCTTATATATATGTCCTCACTTGTTTGGCAAATGGTGAGTAATGTTTTCTCTAACGGAACCTTACTGCGAGTGTTTTAAAAGTAATGTTTTACGAACTCAACTTGTGTTCCAGAACATTTAATTTAATTTAAGTTGATACACATCATTCGTGAAGAATTTTGTATTTCTCATTCGATTTTGTTTTTATTTTCCTTGCTCAATTTTGTTTCAGCAATTTGTCATTCTGGAGACACAGGTCATTCTTGCGAAAAAAACTCCTATCATGGAAGAGTCCTGTCTCTCTTCCATTCCCACCTGGTTAAACACAGAAATCTAAACCACAGACTAAATGCAATCGACCGATTCTAAACCCATGAAAGGACTGAGCTGATGCAACTTCAAACTGCTAGATCGGCCACTTGATTTTGCTGGAATTGTTCACCATCTATGATGTTTACATCTCAGTGACCAACAAATAAAGTATAATCCATAATAGAGGTTTTGGGGTTATACCACGTAAATATATAAATGTGTCGTTAAACCTGGAATAAATGAAATACATGTAACTGAGATATTTCATATTTAATTTGGATTTTAATGTCAATTATGTGACCAGGAAAGCCTCAATTTCCAGACATGTTCGTTCAGGAGGGTCCTGCATTGATATATTTGGCCAATTCCATTTTAACGAGCATCCAAACACTGAAATCTCCCAGCACGTGGGGGAACTACGTAAACCATCGTGATGAACACAGCTTGGTGCAAAATGCAAAAAAAAATCACCGAGTTATTTTACAGCAGAACAATTTGGGAATATCTACATGGTAGTATTTGTACATTGAGTAAACTAGAACACAGGGAAGGCCCAATCCTAGGAATGGCAAAAACGCAGATGCTAACACAGGTGATCAAACCCACTTTCTGTACTACGATCTGCCAAGCCATGTTGGGGCGTTTTACCCCCCTCCGTGACCCACCTATCCCTTCAAGGCAGTGGATTACAGGAGTGTACATCAAAGCCTGGCAAAGCAACTTCAAGCGGCCCGTAAGTCAATGAAAGGCGTGAAGCTGCACCATGCCCCACTGACCCGATTGTAGATGTAGCAGTTTGTGAACATGGTGCTGAAGTCCTGGATGCACTCCACAGCTGTGAAGTAAAAGTTTGACTCCAGTCTCTTCTTGATGGTTCCCATGTCCATCGGGTTCTTGATAATGTTGTAGTAATCCTTTAAAAATAGAAAACAGTTGCTTGTTAAACAAGTAACAACAACACTTGTTCTGTGACATGAAAGCTCGCAACTCAGTTTAGCTCAACTAATCGTATCCAATATGTGCAGTAAACAGAAGTTTAAGTGCAAAATAGTATTTTTCAATTCGATAAAAAAAAACAATAATGTAAGGCCCTTTGTCAATTCCGCTGCTGGATCAATGCCTCCACGTGCTTTTCCGTCACGGGGGTTCTGTGACTATATTTTACTATGCTGGTCAGTGCTCATTGTATGTATGTTGAAGTTGTTTCGCACCCTGTGTAGCCAATCGTGCGAATCGGAGGTGTGGGAGGAGAACAAACAAAACTAGTGAGGGGTGCAAACATCAAATATCATTAACCAACGAACTGGGTTCATGGCAGTGCGCTAACCAATCTGCAACTGCTGCACCATTTTACATGGATTAAATAATCACAATCAACTATGACCATTCCACTGCTAGATTAAGGCCTACAACAAAGCTCATGTCATGAACAAATTATATTTACTATCCTAATAGCCGATACATGTTTTCGTAAACATACGTAACATTACAAATTTTCATGATACTAGCGCTTCTGGTTTGATAAACATTATCTCAATATACGCATTCTAATCACCTTACAGTGGTACACTGAACATTTCAAGTGTACCGAGAGCACAGCTAATCCAAGCCCATTAGACAGAGGTTAGCGTGTAAATTATTTAGGAGCTACAGTATCTTTCAATACCCATCGGACAGTGGCACACGAGCCGAGGGAAGTGACACATGTAATCACGCCTCGAACTTTTAACGCAACATCGGATCACGCGGAGAACATTGCAGCCTAGGAGGGGGGCAGGCAGGCGGGGGTTAGAACCAGACATGGCTGTTTGCACACAATCACTGGCAGATAATGGAGAATTAGGTAACAGGAGGTCGTGTAAGCTGCCTGCGCACTCTAACGACCCTGGGAAAAGCGTCGGCAGTGGAGGCGGTGTGTTGTCTGCGCACAGGACAAGGTCACTGGCAGAGCAAACGAGGCTGGCCACATCCCCAAGTTGTTTTTCTCTGCACCGGTTACACTATTTTACAGAGTGGCTGTTAAGCGAGCTATAAAACACCCGACTATCCGAGCCGCTGCAAAACGGGCCGTAGGTGTGTACGTGCACCTGTTGCCTCCCTGAAAGATACAGCTCATGACGGGGCGCTCGTCAATGCGCACGAGACATAGCTTGCCGTGAAGCAGCGTTCAAATTATATAACCGGGCTGCATTATATGACACATCCGAGTCGCTTTGTCAAATTGTAAGTAAATATACATGAAGTGTGTCGTCCGCTTTATGAAGCAGAGCGTGACACCCTCAAATTGTTTAAAAAGAATAATCGGAAAGTGATGCTGTTGCTGTCGAGAGTGTAACTTTCACCGGGTCCAAAGAGCACTGGCCAATGTTCTGAGGAAAGCCTGTCATTATTTTACGCCGGCTGCACCCAGGGAAATGTTGTTAAGAGTTGAACATGCCAGGTTTTGTAACACTTCGATTTTGGCAGCAAACGAGTAACAATTCTCCACACAAAGTGAGGGAACATTCCTACGCAGAGGGGGTAAAAATTTGGCAAAGCGCACTTGGCACATCCGCACGACAAGCTTGGCAAAATATTCTAAGTTGGTGAATGCTAATATTATGGGGCTGAGAGAGGTGAGCTAAGGGGCACCCCTCTTTCGTGCTGCACGATGTGGAGTGCGTCAAGGAAGCTTAGCAACCTGTCCAGTGTCCCATTTACAGAGGGGCACAAACGATCACAATGGAAGCTTGCTATTGTGTGCAATCAATTTTGATTTAGAACAGGGCAACAACATATTCCCCTGATCATTGCAAAATGACAGAGCTGAGCAAAGCCACACCTCTCACTCGGTAAATCACATTGTCTATCGGATAAACTGTTAGCCCAACTCAAATTGTACGTTTTTAGAGCACCAATGTAAAGTGTGATATTCAACTTTAATTCAGTCAATCTGTGCCCTCTCTCTTCTAAAAGGACACTTGCCTGGAATATCAGTATATTGTATTAATATTTGTGTGTACTCTATTTTAAGGCAATGTTATTGGCAGCAGAGAACAGTGGAACAAAACCCTCTGTTGCGCTGTAATTCTATGCTTCCTTCAATCCATCCGCATTGACCAAGGGAGTAGTGCGTGGTAAAACAACCCCCACAACTTACAGGAGTAGTTTACAAAAGAGGTGCACATATACATAATGCAATGTTAGTGATGGATCTCATGTACATCTGCCAAACCAGTACTTTGATATTTATTTTGATAAATGTTGTCTATTACTGTAGCAGATAAACACACATGATAGCAAGGCTGGAGCATGTTTTACAATAAACACACAACACTATGTACCAATGTGCACTACCCTCATTCCATTCCTTACCTAATTGGTCAGGATAGATATGTAACGGTCAGATGTGTGATATTGTACTATATACAATGCTAACTTGTCGCACCTCCGATTAGCACGGTTGGTTACTTACGGTGCGAAAGAAGTTCAACATACATACATAGTCAAATACTCATTCCTGGCTGCCCTGCGATATATCTGGAGTGGTGTATCCAGTCCTTATCTCACGGTGCTTGATAGAATGCGCCATAAGGCAGTCACAGGGTGATTGATGATCCAGCACTCTGGTCACTCGCTCACTCCAGTTCGTTGCCTCATTTATTCCTCGATCGCTATCATTACTATTTTCGTGAGCTTCACTCTCCCATTCCGCACCCCATGTTGAGGACTTTCTACCAGAATAACAGTTGTGTAGTGTGTTCAGCCACCACACTGCGGGTCAAAACAATTATCTTTCTGCTTCATGCCTTGCACCGCTCGCCTTTGGAATTCCCTTCATCATCTATTTTCCAAAGCTTTTTCAACCTTGCTCAATTCAAGAAATGCGTCAACTCTTATCTATTACAACCATGATTGTGCTGCTTGTTGCTTGTTATTTTACATTTTGGCCTTTTGCTCAGCAAAACAGAGACACTCGGTGAACAGAGTAATACTCAGTAGCTTACCGGCAGGTTGAGCTTGGCAGCATCGACGGGATGATGGAAGGGCCAGGCAAACTGATGCTTCCACAAGGCCTTCATGACCACCTTCTGCAGGTACTGCAGCTGATTGGTGAGCCGGCCTGGCTTGACAGGGCTGGATGTCTCGGGGGGAGACGGGTTGACACTCTGGCTGGCGGCGGTGGCCGCTGCGGTGGCAGGCTGAGCGCCCTGCGGCGCGGCTGGTATCGCAGACATGCTCTCCTGAGTGTCAGTCAGCCTCTCTCTGGCGCCCGTGCCGTTCAGATGAAGAGCCAGCTGAAAGGTTCACTCACGCCTTGTAGAGATCGACACTTGGTATCCTTGTTATTTTTGTAACTCCGCGGCTTGGATTACATTATCACCAACCTCCCCCTGATGGACAAGAAAAAACAACACAAGGTGCGCAGGTTAGAGTTACAGGTGGTGAAGGTGCAGCCCTTTTTCCACTGCTGAATCAAGAACCTCTACTGGAGGGAGCTCTAGAGGACCCCTCTCGAGGGTATTTTGGCCTACTCATATTTAAGGTGGTGGTGGATACCAACACTTTACCCCTCCACACTCGACCTGCCTGTCGACTGATGTACCCAATGATATCCCTGGATGGACAGAGGTGGGGGCGGGGATTTAAGAAATATGCATAATTAAGAAGCATACATCACTACCGCGCCGTTAGATCGAACCGGCGACCTCTGGATTGCAGGTCCAGTGTACTAATCCATTGCAAAGCGGCAGCATTCCACAGTGACATCACTGCACTATTGTTATTATTACACAAGCTGCGTGTAGCAATGTTGAAATCATGTTGCTAAGGTAGCAAGCCATTCAACAAGGAACCTATTTACTTCACAATATGAACGTAAATAATAATAAAAACAGACCCAGCGACGAATGTGATTTCCTATAATATAAGATACGTGGAAAAGCACTCGTGCAACTTAAATAGCTTAAACAGAATTCACCACTGTGGAAGGCTATAACCATCGCGTCAAGCATGCTTTCCAAGTCCCCTCTGTAACTGACCGATCTTGTCAATTGTGCAAATGCAATCTATATGTATCACTTCTGTTGTCCCTCTCGACAACAAGATAGCAATAAAGCAATAACGCGTTATGTAGCAGTAAACACTGGATCGCGCAAAACAACACGACGGCACGGCAACTCTGCCCTGCGAGTTTCTCTCCTCGTGTAGTACGTTTATAACACGTGCGCGCTTACAAACACAACCGCTGCTGCACCCCATAACAAACCCTGCCACCGCAGGCGAACACAAAACACTCCACCGGACCACCAACACGTGCACTGCCACCAACCACAAGCGAACACCCCAACGATCAGGAAACCTACTTAGGAGACTGTCTGGCGCGTGTGTGCGGGCGTCAGTGTATGTCTGTGTGTGTTCAAGTATGTGACAACACTTGCCAAAACAAAATATGTAAGCTATACCGGTGGGATCTTTGCCTTCATAGGTGCTCGGTAACAGCTCTCGCTACAATAGTTTAAGCAATACAGGCGACGCGTGTTTGGATGTGCGCGTATGCATGCGTATCCAAACGTTTGTTATGTCTGTCAAAATGTGATTATATTGAAAGTATATATGCGTGCATGCTTATGCGAACATTCCATTTGATTGCTCTGTGGGTTTTCTGTTTTTGGAGGCAAAAGACGTGGCTGGGTATGTCCCGTTACCTGCTAGCAAACCTTCGACTTTTTACGTGGCCTCAAAGGGCACCTAGACTGGCACAAGTGCTGTGGTGCCGTCCCGCCACTTAGTGACGACTGGCGGCTGTTTTGTTGTGTGCTTATTTATGTGATTAGGAACACGTGTTTGTGTCTGTCCTGTGTTTCAGCATGTGTGATTATATGTGTACATCTAAGTACGTACAGTATATGTATTGTGTCCATTCGTTTGTGTACATCAGCTTAGACGTGTATAAGTTAATGTTTGTGTTTATATGCACGTGTATATGTTTTTTTTGTTAGTGTTTGTGATTATACAATATTAAGGTGCATGTATTTGTGTATATGTGCATGTTTGTACGTAAGTGTATGAATGTTGAACTTATTTCGCCCCGTACGTAGCCAACCGTGCTAATCGGAGGTGCAGGAAAAAGACAAACTAAAACATAAAACGCAGTTTTGTTTATATGTGTTCGTGTGGATGTTTTTTGTAAGCATGTGAATGCACAGTGCGTGTGCATGTGAGCGCGTGGGTTTGTGTGCATTGGAAGCGTTTGTGTAAGCACGGCAACTCCCGCGCGTGTCGGAAATGTTACGTCTCTGTCGAGACTTGCCGTTTCCTCGCTTGCCATGTTTACGACAAGTACCTATAGGCTATTCATGCTTGGAGACGAGCAGTACTGGTCGAGGAAGACAGACACACTTACATGCACTTTATTTACAACAGCCTATTTTTTAAAAAGTTTATTTTAGAGACACTTGATTTGAATATGGATGCGCTTCGGTTTGTTCAATTTTAAAGATAGCGGTTTTATTAAGAGTTCAAGTAAGACCCGAGATGCAATGTCTTAAATGTTGAATATTTGTTACAATTGCAAGCGGTAACAGCTTGCGTTATGTGCAATCGTAACAGTGAAAGGCGCTCCCAATGCCTATACACGAGTCATAAATACTACAAATACAGAACATAGCGTCAATGCATATGCACAACAAACAAAAGTGTACATATAAAGTAACATATCAGCCACGTTAAATCCACTGCTGGATGAAGGCCTCACTTAAAATGTGCAATATAGGCATAACACATGTTCAAAGCACGTACACCGATACATGGAAATATTACAAGCTAGGAAATACTGATGTACGCTGTGCATGCGTGAATGCTTGTGCACAGCACCAATTTCTTTTAGTATAAATGCGGATAGGGCGCTAAGTTTACATCTCGGGCCGGATAACGGGAGTCAGAACGAGGACGCGGATACCCTTCTCGGCTCAGCCGGGGCTGGGGCGTACCTTAACCGGCAGTAAAACCAGGCAAACAGCAAGGCTTTGGCCTAGATGCGGGCCTGCGCCCAATAGCAGCGAGCGTCGGCTTCGCGGCATCATGCGCTCCCATCTACCACCTCGACTAACAATTAAACCACCCAGTCACCCAACGACGACAAGGGTTACACATCAACATCGGCGCGAAAACGGGACGGACAAAACCCGCCTTTGCGTTGAGCCGTGCCGATTAAAATGGCGGGCGCGCTGTGGCCCCCGCCAAACCGACGTCGGCCTCGACCCCCCTCACCCCGCGCGCGGCAGCCTCCCCGCGGCCCAACAACCGCAACAAACGCGCGCAAGCAACGGCGCGAACGACGCGAAAGAAAAGGCTGCGCGCCGAAGGGAAACGCGGCGCCACTTACGCCGCCTCGGACTCCCGAACAACGGGGCTGAACCAGTGCTCTCCCTCCCGTGCGCAGCGCCCACCTGATTGGCCCTGGCGGCATCACGTGGTGGTGCTTCGTCAACGCGTACGGGGGAGGCTGCGTCATCGCGTATGTGCGTCTTGACGTCATCACGCACGGAATGGTTCCGCCCCTTACGTCAGAGAATCTCGCGCAATTCTGCGGGCGCGGAGTGATACGACGTCATCACGCATGTAGTCTGACGTCATCGCGCAAGTGGCGTCGGCACACGCGCGAGTGGCTGCGTCATCACGCACGGCACGTGGTCTCCGCCGTCCGAGAAACGAGGATGTCTGTGGAAAAATGACGTCACGGCGTAAGCTGGAAGACTTCAACGCGTATGCGCTGACGTCATCGCGTTAGATGCACACTTAATTAGCGTACATCAATACGCACGCTTGGTTCATGTGGAGCGATGCAGCCAGTCAGGTCTGGAAATATAAAAGGTCGAAACCGGTACGGAGTTTGCTTTCTTAAAGGAACGTTGTTGCATAACTTTGGCGTGGAAAGCCGATATAGACCGATGGACTAAATATTTGTTTTTGGAGATAGAACGGAGTAAAAATGTGTTTGCAGATGGCGCTTAACAATAGGTCGTTCATATTCTTGGTTCTTTCGAAATAGGTCGTTCCTTTAACTTAAAATTGTATCCCCCCACCCAAATCGTCCGTGCTCTCGACTCTGTGCTCCAGCTCAGCTCCAGGTGCATCACTGGAAGCCAGCTGCATCAATCTGGCCTTGGGCGCGGTGAATTAACCACGTGGTGTGCAGACCTGTGCGTCGTGACGTCATCGCGCAAACTCACCTCCCCCACGCCTACTCGTTACGTATGACGTCATGACCTCGCTTTTGCGGGCTGACGTCACAACGGCATTGACCAATCTGAGCGGGGATGGCGTCACTCACGCAACGACTGCGCGCGAATGAAGAAGGGGAGGGGCTAGTGACGTATGACGTTCCGTGCGTGGTGACGTATGACGTTCTGTGCGTGGTGACGTATGACGTTCTGTGCGTGGTGACGTCACTTCTCGTGGCCGGGGAAGAAGGGGGAGAGAAGCCGAGTTCGGACTGCGCGCCTTCTCCGCCCTCCGTTGTTTGGTTATCGAGGCTGAGAAAAGAACAACAACAACAACTCTTCACACACGCGGCGTGGTGGGAGAATGGCGCGCTACGAGAACTTGGATTTCCCTTACTGCGACGAGGTGTCCAAGTATGAGAAGCTGGCGAAGATTGGCCAGGGAACGTTTGGGTAAGCCGGGTGGTGGTGGTGGTGGTGGAGGCGGCCATTGCTTCGTGTGAGACTGTGAACGCGGCGAATTTTCGTCACGAACTTCGCGGAGGTTTTGTTTGTTTGTTTCCCCCGTGGTGTATTGTGACTGTGGTGACGGCTACGGTTTAACGCGAGCACCATGAGGGCCAGCAGTGATCGGCGTTGTTGAAGGCGGCGGGCCCCTGGTGCGTTGACAAAATGGCTGGGCAGTTAGGAACATATTCTTAGGTTTTTGTCGGTAAAGTCACGTAGGTAAAACATCAAAATTAATAAAATAATGATGTTTTACCTACGTGACTTTACCGAAAAACCTAAGAATATGAATCCTTGCAGTCACGAAAGCTTCAAGTCTAGAATCAGTTAGGAACAGTGGAGTGTAGATTAATGAATGTACTGTACGTGAACTACACGTGTTGACTCCCGGGGTTGTGTTGTAAAACATACAGTCACGCGAGTGAACACATAGCTATAACTTAACCATGTGCTCGTTTAACAATTTAATGTAATGTAGAATCGTGATGTTTCTTGCGATAGGCATTGTTTTCATATTTGATATTGTCTTGTGCAGCGTTGTTGAGATGCACTTTTGCATGAGCGATGTTATTTAAACAAAAGTACAAATACGTGATTAATGTTATCCGCACCAACCAGGCTAGTGAAGTATAGCTTAAATAAATAACCTCCAGCCCACGTGGCGTGCTAAGGCTCTCATCGAGTGGTGGATTGACAAAAAATCGGCCGTGGGATAATGTCTTGGTTTAACAAACACTTATAGATTTGAAGCTTTCGTGACTGCAAGGATTCATACTCGTAGGTTTTTTTCGGTAAAGTCACGTCGGTGAAAATAAATAATAAAAATAAAAGAAATTATAGAAATAAAATAATAAATCACGACGTTTCGGAGGCAACACAAGTCTCCGTCATCAGGTGGGACCGTCACAGCTAAATTTACTCACTTGATACATTAAATTTGGCTTTAACAAACACGACGAATTACAATCCACCATCGATTCTATTGCCGGCAAGCTGCCCCGATACATTACAGCAGCGGTCGGGAACCTATGGCTCGCGAGCCATATATGGCTCTTCTGGTGACGGCATATGGCTCCCAGACAATTTTGAGTTGAAAAAAAAATTCAAAAATCAGTTTGGAACTGATTTTAAAATACTTGTGATATTGCTTAATAATACTGTGTCATTTTAAAGTAAACAGAAATTAGTTTTGAAGATACATTTCACGGGTCACGGGGCCTCAACGCCTGCATGAAGCTCAACCTCACCACGTACGAACCAGACTACAAGGTCATCAGCAAAACCATGCAGCACCAGAAGTCGCATTAAAAGTGATACATATTTAATTTATTATACGTTAAAAATACTATATGGCTCTCAATGCAATATTTTATAAATATTTGGCTTTTATGCCTCTCCCAGTCAAAAAGGTTCCCGACCCCTGCATTACCGTAACAACCTCCCACTACCACGTGGCCGGCATAATCGGCCATTGTGAATCAGCTGCATGGGTCAGGACAAAAGGTCATTTGCGAGGCGTCGCCATCTCGCAAGCAAAATCGTGATCCCACGATCTCCGTGTGTGGCCAAGCTCAAGGGGTCGGTGGGTCGCGGGAGGTCTGCGGCCTTTCGGCCTCTTGAAGGACCGCTTCGCGACGTTTATCGACGAGCGGTCTCGTATTCGCGAGCAAATTGCGGCTCTTGGAACGTTGAATTGGGGGTTTTTTTCTCCCCTTACCGATATCGTAAGGCGGTGGGGGGGGGGGTAGCTCTTGTGATTTTGATTGCCGGAAATCATGCCCCCCCCCCCGCTCTAGCATCCAGAACGCGAGCCGGGTTTAAATCTCTGCATCTCCCTCGTCGACGTCCTCGTGTTTTGGTTTTGATCAGTGCTGTGCATAACCACACCGTCCGATCGTCTCTTGAGCATTCTCCCTCTCCCCCCCATGTGTTGCTAAATATGCGTTCGCAATTAAAATACGAACCGTCCGCTGCTGCTGCACAATGGATGTTAAAGATCCCGTAACGTAATTTGTAAGAGTATGGCGTTGTGTACTATCGCCTAGTATGCAGGAGGGTTCGGTGCTGACCCTGACGCTTCTATATTTGGAGTTTGAATGTTTTCCCCGTGATAGCGTGGATTTTTATTTTCTCCGGGTCCTCCCAGTGATTTCCTCCATTTAGAAACGTGCGTTGCTATTAGATTAATTTGCTATACATGTCCAAATGATAGGCCAAATTTGTTGTTGGGCTATCGTTTGTGGCCAGGTCGCTTATGGAAAATAAGTTACCATATCTCTGGGCTTTGCCTGATAGGATGAGGGTGGTTTAGTATTATTTGTATGTGTTTGAGTGATTTATTTACGTTTCTTGTACCTCACACTCCTTTCATTTTTGAAACGTTCTTACTCGCTTCTACTAGACATTTGTGAAAAAGAGCTTTAGAGCACATCGGATTCCGCCAGTATAAATATTCTTATATCCCCCCGTCCTGCAAACACATTTCGTGGCGGGGGAGGGGGGGCTCATGAAAACGACTAACGAGGCTTGCCTGTGTAAATGGTAACGTCAACCTATATAGATAGCATGGCAAATGCACTGGACGTGCTGATACAGTGGGCGGGAAATGTCAACGACCTCGTGCGTGATTATTGCGCTGTGTGTGTGCGCCGCTCTCCAGGGAGGTGTTCAAAGCTCGACACAGAGTGACGGGCAAGAAGGTGGCTCTGAAGAAAGTGCTCATGGAGAACGAGAAAGAAGGGGTGAGCGAGAAAAGAGGCCATTTGCACGCCCCAGCGTTGCGTTGTTCATGTATAGTCCGTGTTAGGTGGGCGGTGTGGCCAGACGATCTACCAACAACGACATTTGAGCGGTATCGGCCGAGCACTTAATCGTTCACCAGAGAGGAATCGGGTCTGCCTTTGCAACACCCCTGCTCTCACTAACTTTGAACTCAAGTCTTTTTCAACGGCTTTACTTGACTCCTATGTTTGTCGTGGTCAAATCTTGTAATCAAAATGTAACCTTACTTCCTGTTGTCCAATCAATTACAAATTCTGCACACGGACTCAGATCCGGTGACGATGCATGCTTGTATCAAAATCGGCATCGATTAATTGGCTCTTTTAAAGCAATTAACATTTTGTATGAACGGCTTATTAATTAAATATTTATTCGGGTAGGTCAAAAACGCCTGCGGTCGCCCAAGAAGCAGGCACCACGTGTCTCTTGTGATCAAGATATCGTCCACTTGCCGTTGTCCAATCGAGTTATTTACTTTGTAGTGCACTTTAAAACAAAACCGTTGTTTAAAAAACAAATTAGGGAGTTTATATTTATCTATCCTGGAGGAATATTGATGAGCTGCGTTTTCACAGACGGTCCAGTGTCGCTGTGCTAAATGTGACTTGTACATTTGTTTTCGTGAGTATTCGATAATGCCTAAGGTGGGTGTTCACGTGATATTGTCCAACAGTTGTATTGAAAGTTATATTCGGACCTCCAGAAGCAAAAGGTTGTACACAGGATATAATGAAGCCAAGCCATTTCATTTCTATAAACTAGTGAATGTGGAAGCACAATTAAAGTTTCGGCACTAATCCCAGCTTTACTGCTTGCGCGTTTTTTGTCAAATGTGGACATCGCTGTATGTTCAATTAAATATCTTTGACGAATGTGACCTGATTGTGAAGGTGTCGGGGCATGGTTACCATTGTTTTTTTTAAAGCCACCGATCTTGTCCCCTCTCTCAGTTCCCCATTACAGCGTTAAGGGAGATCAAAATTCTCCAGCTTCTCAAGCATGAAAATGTTGTTAACCTCATTGAGATTTGCCGCACTAAAGGTGAGCAAGAAACAGGTCTGTTGTCTTTATTTTTCTGCCACAGTCTATTTTTAAAACTGCACTCGGGATTTTAATTGAATTTATCAGCAAATGCACTTTTTTCTTACATGGTGTTTGAACTTCCCATATTGCGTCTAAATCAATTGTTTATTTTCTTCCATGCAGCGACACAATACAACCGCTACAAGGGAAGCATCTACTTGGTCTTTGATTTCTGCGAGCATGACCTTGCCGGGCTTTTGAGCAATGCCAATGTGAAATTTACACTGTCGGAAATCAAGAAAGTCATGCAGCAATTGCTTAATGGCTTGTACTACATCCACAGGAACAAGGTATGTAAATGGACGTTCATATTCGCAACCTGCCCCCACCACCACCCCACCCCCTTAGCCGATGAGCCCAGAGGGTCGTTCACTACAACTTGGGGTGACAAACGCTACTCTTGTCCACCGTGGGTGGAAGGCTTTGCATATACTGTGTGCTTTAGAGACTCCTCGTCTTTTCTCGTATTCCATAGATGTCTCGTGTCGCATTTTAGTCCAAGGCGATATTCTGCCAAATATACTGTGGTACCTATTTCATCATAATTTTTTATTATTGTTAAAGCTACCACGGTAACCCTGGTTTGTGTACTACTGAGCCAGTTTTGGATTAACGGTTCAAGGGACCCATTGTGAAAAAGGTGCACTCAACTTGTATTAGAATCCTTTAATTTTAGGGCCGTTGGCCACTGCATTGCTTACAAAGTACCACACCGTGGCGCAGGTTAATCAATGGCCATAGTTACATGAGCGAAAGTGTTTTTCAGTGCAAACATTTTACTGAAATTTTGATGAGCATAAACTACTTTGTTTACGTAGGCTTATTTGTGAAAGTAAATTGCACAAATTAAATTTTCTTTCATGGAATAATGGCGAGTATCAAACGTGTGACCAATTTGTAATGCATGAGGTGTTAGTATTCTATACATGGTTAACCGTATTACACTTCAACAGAGTGGTTAGTATTAGATGAGCACCCAGGTAAATGCAATTGCCTCTGGTTAGGCAGATCTTGCAGCTGTATGCAATCCGTATGCATCTTTGTGCGAATAACTCCTCCACCCCCCTACCAATTTGAAATGGACGAGGCGTCATTTGAAAGCGTATATATAAGGTGTGTTAAATACGCATGAGATCCTAATGAAATAATCCTTTAATTTGGCTAATCTCATGATCCGAGCTCCAATTCAAATCGCACAATGTGTTGGCGTGCGACTGGAGAGGATTGGTGTGCGGGGTGGAGTGGGAGCTGTTGAATCTCAGAAGTCTTACCAATATTGTGGTGAGTCGGCTGAGTTGATGAGGGTCAAGTGACGATGCGTGGTGAGTGGCTGGTGTTAGATGAGTGGCGCATGTCAGACGAGGGGGTCAGGTGAGTGTCGCATCACCTCGTCTGTAGGACGGGCCTGCCCGCTATATACGACTATAGAACGGCGTAAGGAAAAAGGTCCTGGCATATTTGCGTGCAGATCCTGCACAGAGACATGAAAGCTGCGAACATCCTGATTACACGCGATGGTGTACTCAAACTGGCCGACTTTGGGCTGGCGCGAGCCTTCAGCATCGCCAAGAACGGCCAGAGCAACCGCTACACCAACCGCGTGGTGACGCTGTGGTACCGCCCGCCGGAGCTGCTGCTGGGTAACGCTGCGCTCACAGCAAAGCCTCCAGCACAGAGGCACATGATGCGTTCAAAACCTCGTCTGTATGCACATCAGCCATCGGCTGTTTGCGAGTCGGCTAGAAAAATTATAAAGGGCTGAAACTGCCCAGCCAGGTCAATCTTGGGAAAAACATCTTTGTGAAAACCCATTGAAGCTTGAGTTAGTCTTCTCAAGCATATCTCTGCATGCATTCAAATGTATGTTTCAACTCTTAGAACGTACAAATGTGCAAGGGTTATCTTTCGACTAGTTGCAAAGGGGAACCCTCTCGCAGCACGAGTGTGAATAGATGAGGTTTTATTGTATCTACGAAACATCTACTATCCCTCTAACATGTGCAGTGTGCATAACCCGTGTACATAAAGTAACTGCATAACTGATATGATGAGTCGCAAAGGTGTTGGTGTTATTCAGCTATGTATTTGAAAATCCTTGTCAGATCTTCGCCGACTGGTAAGCGTTGACGTTAGTCTTTTTTAAACGGTGCACGATATGAACTAAACCCGACCTGTGAAGAAAACCGAGTTTAAGCCGTCGTCCCGTTTCTTTGTTGCAGGAGAGCGAGACTATGGGCCCCCCATAGACATGTGGGGAGCCGGGTGCATCATGGCGGAGATGTGGACTCGAAGCCCGATCATGCAGGGCAACACCGAGCAGCACCAGCTCACGCTCATCAGCCAGCTGTGTGGGTCCATCAATCCCGAGGTGCGTTCCATGCAGTCACACATGTTTGCGCGTTTGTGTACACGCGCGAAGATTCAAAACGCTCTGAGTGGCTTAGTCACTGAGCCGGCACAGTTCGGATATCGGGACCGTAATGTTTCACCTGCACATGATTATACCGCAAATTATCATGTCGAGTGAGTTGGTGGTTTCGGACCAATCACCAATGACTTGTTGTATGGAGACTCCCACAATTGCCTATCTCGCTCTCCTGAGTTGTGATCAAACTGGGACCTGAACTATCATTAGCTGATGGTCTTCAGTCCAGTCACCAAGGCTGCTGAAATAACTAAAAAAATTAAATTTGTATCTGCGCTTAATGTGCCAAAATGTTCACCCCTGAGTTACTCTGCCACATCTGGAAACTGAAAGAATGAAAAGCGACGACTTTCATGAGAAACGAATTTAACTCCGCCCCCACCCCCACTGTCTTGCGATCTGTCCTCCGTCAGGTGTGGGCCGGCGTCGACCGCTACGAACTCTTCCAGAAGCTTGAGCTGCCCAAGGGCCAGAAGCGTAAGGTAAAGGAGCGGCTCAAGGCCTACGTGAAGGACCCATACGCCCTGGACCTCATCGACCGCCTGCTGTGCCTCGACCCGGCGCACCGCACAGACAGCGACGACGCCCTCAACCACGACTTTTTCTGGACCGACCCCATGCCCTCTGACCTCAAGTCCATGCTGTCGGCGCACAACACCTCCATGTTTGAGTACCTGGCACCGCCGCGCCGTCGCGGGCAGGTGCCACAGCAGGGCGCCAACGCTGGGCGCAACCCCGCGGCCATCCAGTCCGAGTTCGACAGAGTCTTCTGAAACGTCGTCATACAAGTTGCCGTGGGGGTTTTCTTTCGGGAACTGCGTCTCTTTTGTTTTACCTGAAGATTCAAGAGCTACTCTTCAAATGCGCCACCGTGGAATTCGCGATGGACGATTGGAATCCGTTGCAACCCGGATTTACGTATGCTGAGCGTATTGGCGGACTGACTGTTCAAGTTTAACATACGTTCCGGCTTGCTTTTGCCTCGATTTATATTTTTGCGCACACCAATGTAAGTATGGTTAGTAATAAATATGGATGTTTGCTCACCTCAATCCTGGGGTTCTCACTAACAAGGATTTGCGGTCTGTTTTGAATGTGCTGCAAGAGTGTAAAAGAGGGCAGCATGAGGTATGCTTAAGCAGGAGCCATCTTTATTCAGCCAGCACAGGAATACAACATTGGCAAGGAGCTGTTAACCAGGCTTTTTACTCTTTCCCTGCCCCCCCCCCACCCCCCACCCTTTGTCAACCTACCTACCAATCCCCTTCACCAAACCTCAACCTCTGGCGCGCTCCCCCTTTCGGCTACCTGTTGTGGTTCAACCAGAGTTGTGCCCTGCAGCAGACAACATCTGCTGATGAGGCTTGGGAGTTACAGCCTGTCCAAGGTTTGCTGCCAAGATAGGGGCTCTTATTCTGTTCCATGGCTTTTAGTAATGGGCAATCCAATCCTGAAAGTGATTACAGAAAAAAACATTGACAACATAACCCATTGCTGTGAACTGGCCTGCTAATTGATTGTGATACTGTCCCTTTTCAGTTACTCGGGGGGCCCTTTAATATGGCAGCCACAACTTGGTCAAGACAGGATGCACCCTACAACTGGCAGCTGGAGATGCTGATGTGGTTGGCATCACGGAGCCACCACATGCAGACGTTTCCCCAACTTTCCATTACAGCCCCATTCCAGATGTGGTTGAGATGGCCTCTGTAGGGGCATAGAGCAGTGATGAACAACCCCCTGGGGGCTTGTGGGCTACTGTTTAATTTATCAGTGCATGGGGGAGGCTCCCAGTTCCATGTACGTGCAAAATCCATCACAGGTAGTCCAGGATCTCCGTCTCCATCTCGTTCTCGCTTGCTTCTGACACCGCCTCCTCTTCCCCAATCACTTCCTCCTCTTCATCTTCCTCTTCATCCTCCTCTTCCTCCCCCTCATCAGGCCAAGCAAAGTCCTTCTTGTGCCTTCGGTGTGGGCTGTCCAGCACCAGACCTGCACGCACAGGCAGTTTACCACACTTTAATACATGGTTGCCCATCCAGGCTTAAAGCTGCTTATCTTTTGTAGATCCGACGTGATCAGGTGCATTGCCGCTGAACTGGTAATATGTAGCAGGGATGAGAAACATTCTTGAACCTGGATTTTAGTAGGGATGGGGAGGCGACAGGTGGGTGGGTGGGGGGACTGAACAGACTGCCAGGTGATGGGGGGGATACTAAAGTCCATTTATAACGCAAAAGCTCACGGTGGGGGCAGCAGAGGAGAAAGCGCAACCTCTCATAATGCTTGGCTCACACAGGCCTCGGACATGCAGGTCTCAAGACACGCATTGCACAGGCACACACACACACCGGGACTCCGCTGGCGGATGTGGTCGCGCACAATGTTCGACATGATGTTCCGCAGCCGGTCGCATGTCCTGGGCAGGCACCAGCCGTCCTTCTCCGTGCACACCGTCTCCTTGCCATCGTTGCGATGAACTATCTCCTGGAGGCTTCCCAGGAAACACAAGAGGGGGGGGGGGGGTTGTACATCAGGGGTCCCCAACTCCTGGACGGGTACCTGTCCGTGGCCTGTTAGGAACAGGGCCGCACAGCAGGAGGTGAGAGCTGTGAATCTGTGGCCCGCCCATTATTTTATTATTTACCACTTCCGTCCGTGCCTCTTTCCCACACTGCAAACTTCTCTCAGTAACAGTTGTGGTGAATCCACAAGCTGCTCACTCTGAGCCACAACGAGTAAACAACAAACGTTGCTGGAGAGCTTATTTGAAAAGGGGGAAAGACCCAATGATGACCCCCCCCCCCCATCCGTGAAAAAATAGTTTTCCACGAAAACGGTCCCTGGTGCCAAAAAGGTTGGGGACCTCTTGGTGTACATACCCTCACAACAGGCACTCGTACAACTTCCTTGGTCTATCCACTGCTGGATGCGTTGTTTAACCGTACCTGACCCTCCCCGGCCAAGTTTAAAGAGCGGTTGCAAAAACGAGCATGGTGGCCTCACCAGTCGACGTGCAGGTCGCACAGCTGGTAGAACATCTGGCGGTACGGCGGCAGCTGGCCCCGCTGGAAGATGAACGCGGTCGCCTGCAAGGACAAGCGGCGACACTCAGCCGGGCTGTGAGGACGTGGCCCTCTGCCACCGGCACCACAACCAGCCAGCGCCCGAAAGACTCCCAGCAGAATTTACTTGCCCACGCTCAGTCGCTTTTTTTTCGTTTTCCAACAAAAAATAAAAGCGCTAAAACATTAAACACCGTCTGTTTGTCCTGCCGACCAGCCATCAATCTATCTGTCCAGGAGAAAGAACGATTATCTGCATCGGTCCCGGGCCTCCCCTAGGTCGACTCAGCCTCAAATGAGTACCCTATGTGATGTTGGCCACCCACATCGTGTACCAGCCTTCCTAGGTGCTACTCACTAACAACACTTATCGCCTGTTAAGGCTAAATGGGGAATGTTTGTCTTTGCTGGATGCTGTGGTGGTGGTCACCTCCAGCTTGTGCTTGGCAGTCGCCGCTGCGGTCCGCCCGTCGGAGGACAGCTCCGCGCTGGAGGAGTCGGCGAGCTGCTGCATGTTCGCTGCGTGCGGGTCTGAGCGACGGAGCAGCGTCACGCACACACACACGCCCCATATCGCACACGCGTGTCAACACACGACACTTCGTGTCAAATGCAATAGCAACAGCTGCCATTTGCCGGCAAGTGGCGGTGAAGTCGCCACAGCACTTGTGCCAGGCTAGGTGCACTGAGGTCACGAAGTTAGGAAGGCCCACTGCTGGCAGTTCATCACGGGACAGACCCAGGTGCCGTGGGTTGACTGAGCGACCTTCAAGATCCCTTCAGGTGACCTGATTCACGCATAAGGGGGGCCCAGCACTTTTCCAGCTGCCGATTTTTTTAATTCTCAAAGAGCTAGAATTTATACTGGTAGGAACCAACTGGTTCCACCAGCCCACGGGATTATTGTGTCCGTCCGTCGTGCATCCAAAATGGGAGGGGTGGGGCTGGGTGAGGGATGGGAGGGGTGGGGAGGGGCTGGGTGGGGAGGGTGGGGCTGGGTGAGGGGTGGGGCTGGGTGGGGAGAGGCTGGTCACCCCGTGGTGCCCTTATAAAACTCAACGTTTAACCTACTCACGCCGGCTTGTGCCCGCCCTCACAGTCGGGCATATTTGCGGAATACACCACGCCGCCGTTGACCCTGGCCATTGACCGAGCAACGCAACGTTCCTACCAGCTCCCTCCGCAGGAATGTGTTCTAAATGAAGTGTAGAACGTTTTTTTAAATATTCTGTGCAGTCATTGTTCTCTGGGCTGAGACCATCAACTCGCTTCGCTTGAGAAGTCTGTTCATTCAGAGGCTGACAAGGGGATTGAAACTGCCGCCCACAACCGGATCCCAGCGGTGTCAGCGCAGCGCCTAGAACCACCCGCGGGGAGAAGAGGCCGAGTTACGCACTCGGCTTGCTGATGGTGTTGGGGAGGCTGTAATTGAAGGTGCTTCTCTTGGATTTCACGGGAAGGTTTTTGTTGACGAAGCCTGCAGAGAGAGAGAGTGGGAGGGAAGGAGATGGGCAGACGTCACGCACGTCCACACCGTCCTTGCTCAACCATCATCAATCTAGTGCATGTGTGCACGTGTCTATGCATGTGTGCATGCAAATGTGTGCGTACACGTGTGTGTGTGTGTGGAGCGGTAGTGTAGTGGTTAGCGTGCTGCGCTACGAACCCAGTGACCCGAGTTCGATTCCCGCACAAGGTCAACACCAGTGACGATTATCTGAACTGGTCCTAGGCCTCCCCGAAGGTCGACTCGGCCTCAAATGAGTACCTGGTGCAATGTGTAAACATCACCACTAGGGAGACAAAGGCGGCCGGGTCATGATGTTGGCCACCCAATCCCTCGTGTGCTGTGCCGGCCTTCATAAGTGCTGTTTGCTAACAGCACTTGCCCCAACAGTCTGTTAAGGCTACACGGGGGGTCTTTGTCTTTGTGTGCGTGTGGTAGCTTAGTGGTTGGCACACTGCTCTACGAACCCGGCTTCCCGAGTTTGAATCCCGCTCAGGCCAACATCGGTGACGAAATTTCGATTTAAAGCTTTCGTGACTGCAGGGATTCATCTTCTTGGTTCTTTCGGTAAGAAGATCGGTGACGAACACACTATGTAACACAAGTTTTGTTCCTGGGTAGTAAGTGTTATTTCGTAATTTCTTATGCCTAAAAAGTATAGAAAATGGCTATTATTCCCCACAAACTTTGCTTTTGTGACCAGGACAGTGATATTTTTAAATTTACCTATTTTCCACATTCCAGATAGATTCAGTGCTGAGTAAACTTGGAGTAACTTCTAGAACATTCTAGAACTTACCAGTAATATAAATAGTATAAATACAGGGGCCTTAAGCCCACCAGTTCACTTTAGTTTCAGCTGCCTAAGTGGATACATATCTGCATTTTTCTGAGATGGCATCAAGAGGCTGCAAGCATCCGGCAGAGACGCATTTTGCTATGTCTGCGGCCAATTTATCAAGACAAGAGTGAAAAAGTACTCTATGGAAGCATCTGCTAAGATGTGCGATATCGGAACCGGTCTTGGACTTAAAATGAGTACCTAGTGTGGTGGGTAAACATCGTCACTGGGGAGACTAAGGTGGCCGGGTGTGGTTCTGGTCACCCACCCCCTCGTGCGCCGGTGTCAGCCTTCATAGCTGCTTGCTAGCAGAACTTGCCCCAACAGTCTGTTAAGGCTACACGGGGAGGGGGGGGGGGCTTTGTCTTTTGTGTGTGCATGCGCCGCCACTCGCCGTATTTGATGCCACAGCGCAGGCGGAAGTCCAGCATCTGGTAAACCTTGGAGGAGGCGTCCTTGCGGGGATCGAATCCGAACAGCACCCACAGGCTCCGCCACGGCCCGGTGAGCTGGTGCCGCGGCACACGGCGAAGCGGGGGACGCACGGGGAGCGAGCGGTGAAACCAAGGCGGGCGCAGAAATCGCAGCACAGGGCCAGCTGCCGCTGGGGGTGCCCGTTTACTCTGCCCGGAAGCGTTTCCGAGTCGTGCCGAACAACGCTCGGCACGAGGTTCGACGTTTCGCTCCACTCCGTGGCAGCTCCTGGAACCAAAGCGGCTCCCAGGACAAAGCCGAAAACACATTGGAGTAGAGGCCGACCGAAACTGAACTTTCGGCCGAAACCGAAAGTTTAACTACACTTTCGACCGAGACCGAAACAGAAATGTATATAACCGAAGTTACCGAAGACAAGATTTGAAGTGGAGCGGGGCCAGGAGACCTGAAGTGGGGCTAGGAGGCCGAGGGGCAGGGCCAGAAAGATCGTGGGGCGGGGCCAGGAGACTGGGTAGGGTGACGCCTCCTCACCGTGTAGTAGGCGACAGTCGGCAGCAGAACCTTGAGCTTCTCTGGGTGCAGGTTGAGCTTTGCCTTGATCGCGTTCTTAGACCACACTGGCCTCTCCTGGAACAGCTGCACAACAAGCCCCTCGCTCAGAGCCGGTGGCCCCTCATCCCCCACTTCTCTAACAATTACTCAGGCGATAGATTGCTCTACGGATTACTCAAGGAATCAATTACTGTTAGAATTTCTTGAATAATTGAGAAGAGCGGTGGGCGAGTGCGAGGGGAGAGCAGTGGACGAGTGGGAGGGAGAGCAAGGAGAGAGCGGTAGACGAGTGAAAGGGGAGAGCGGTGGGTGAGTGAGAGGGGAGAGCGGTGGGCGAGTGAGAGGGGAGAACGGTGGACGAGTGAGAGGGGAGAGCGGTGGACGAGTTGGAGGGGAGAGCAAGGAGAGAGCGATGGACGAGCGGGAGGGGAGAGCGGTGGGCGAGTGAGAGGGGAGAGCGGTGGACGAGTGAGAGGGGAGAGCGGTGGATGAGTGAGAGGGGAGAGCGGTGGACGAGTTGGAGGGGAGAGCAAGGAGAGAGCGGTGGACGAGTGGGAGGAGAGAGCGGTGGGTGAGTGAGAGGGGAGAGCGGTGGGCGAGTGAGAGGGGAGAGCGGTGGACGAGTGGGAGGGGAGAGCGGTGGAGGAGCGCGTGCCGTGCCTTCCTCAGCTCCGTCTCCGAGTCGCGCTCGCCCGCCTGCAGGTTCAGCTTGCGCCAGTTCTCCACGGCGGCGTCCAGTGGCTGTGCGGGCGCACAGGGCTCCTCGAAGGTCATGAAGATGGCGTTGTGCGGGCGCCGCGCGCGCCCGTGTCCGATCAGGTTCTCGCTCGACAGCTTCGGGGGATGCTTGTACCCTTCCCTGGAAATGTTTGCAAACAACCTCGTCGTCATTTTTCGTCTAATTTGATCCCGCTCGTGATTTCGAGACGAACGATCCGTTCCAACATTTTTAGGAAGCTGCGGTGGTGGCGGCGGCATCTGTGAATCACGCTTGGAGTAAGCTCGAGTGGAGCGTGGTTCCGAGCCGGCAGAGCCAAGCCCGATCCGAGGCCTGACTAAGAACAGGGACCAGATTGCCACGCATCACAGTTCCGTGGCCATTCCTCCACCGCCCGCCCGCACGGCCCGCAAACGTCTAGGCCAGTGTTCTTCATTGCAAGGCCCATGGGCCACTGGCAACCCCTGGTGGCCTTTCGTGCGGCCCCCAGGCTGTGTGGCGGCCCTCACACTGATGTTTTATTCAGTGGAAGCGGCCCCACCTCCGAAAATTGGTGAAGAACACTGCTCTAGGCGGTTGTCAAACGCCCTCGTGACCTCCACGGCCGCCTCGCGTGCGAGCGCGCCTCGGACCTGTGCTGCACCTCCGGGCGGTAGTAGTAGTCGATGGGGTTGTCGAGCCGCGAGAAGATCGGCGGAGGGAGGAAGAGCGGCGCGTCGCGCAGGAAAAACTCGGGGCTCTCCATGTTGCGCAGCAGAACCTGGTCGTAGAGCGACACGCAAGCGCCGTCCGGGCCCGACCGCGTCGCCAGGTACTGGAAATCGGCCATGCCTGCGCGCCGCGGGGACAGACAACGCACAAAATGCTCCACCGTGTAGCCTACACATGGCTGTTGGGGCAAGTGCTTGTTTGGTAAAGTCTTTCTGCGTTGCTGCTCCACGTTTTCGGAATCCCCTTGTCACCCATCTACAACTTGGTTCCCTCCCTTTCCCAGAGCTCACTTGCACCTGTACCTAACTATTTTCTGGCACCTCTTGCTTTTACAAAGGGCGACGGATTAAAACGAATCATAGAAAATGCAATGCCCATAGCTAACATGAGGACAACCAGATGCCCAGACTGTAACAGAAAACGGAAATCCTTTAGTCTACGTGTTCTCAACGTCAGTCGATAGGCATTCGTTTTTCTGTAATTAGTTTTAGCCCGAGCCATTATAGGTGCTTGCTGGAATTTAAACAAATTAAGTGCAAAAACAAATTTGACGTGATAATTTTTTGCACGGTCATTGGTGACGGGACCATCAAGCCACTCACTACGGGCGAGATCTCGGTTTGGATCGGAGGCAGTGGCTGTAAACAGGATGCGAACCCAGGCTGGCTTTCTCAGCGCTACCAGGCTCAGCAGTGTCTCCGAACCACCCGGCCACCTCCGGTTCGCGGCCACTGCCAAAGACAATGCGACGCGTCGTTACCCTGGAACTTGTAGGTCGTGTTGATGATGCCCAGCGCCTCGCTGTCGTACTTCACTTCCTCGGGGGGGGCGGCGGCGCTCGCCGACGAGGAGCCGTCTTCGTCGCTCCCCGCAGTCGTCCCCCTCGCCCGCCGGCGCCGGCAGCAACGCCGGATGCGAATCAGCAGCCCCGTGGCGGGGAGGCGGTCGCCGCACACCGGGTGGCAGAACGGGTCCCCGGGGCGGAAGCACAGCTCCAGGCGGCGCGTCGGCTCCGCGTACGTCTGTGCGGTGCACAGCAACCGCTGCAGAGTTCAACATGCCGGAGCTCCCGGCACGGCTGCTGCGTTACCAATCTGGCTAAGGAGGCGACGGGGAAGCTCGGGTTTTCCGTTCCGTGCCAATGCCTCGTCAACTCGGAGCAATCGCCACCGCCGCTGCTGCTGCTGTTGTTGCAGAGAGCAAAATTATTCTTGCTGCTGTACACGACAGATTTGGCGTAAGTTGGAACCCTGCTGCTGCTGCTGCGGTAGTCACGTCCGCGGTGGAGGACCTAGCTCCTACCTCACTGCACCACACTATGGGACCACATAGCAACCCACACTATGGAACCACATGGTAACTCACCCAGGTCTACGCTCCTTCAATGGAGAATATCAAAACCACACGAACTTTCTCCTAAAGCCATCTCGCCGTGGCTCGCATCATAACCTCGATTTCCCGCACCTCCGATTAACACGGGTGGCCACGAGCGGTGCGCAAGAAGTTAAACATACATCGACATGAGCAATTAGCTCCTGAAGTTGTTTATCACACGCAATAGAAGAGTCCGTGGGCAATGTTAGTCGAGTCCAGGGTTCTTCACCGTCAGGCCCGCGGGCCTCTGGCGGCCCCTGGTGGCCTTTAGCGCGGCCCCCGCAAAACACAATGAGTGAGACCCCCCGCAGCGACTACCAAGATCTGACATTAGATTAGATTGTGACAGTCACACAGACCTACAGACTTACACAAAGACCATAGATTCCCGCAGGGACCCATTGACTCACAGTTAAGTCCATAGACTCGCACAGAGACACATCCAAACAGAGACCCAGACTCACACAGAGACCCACAGACTCACACAGAGACCCATAGACTCCCGCAGAGACCCACAGACTCGCACAGAGACCCACAGACTCCCGCAGAGACCCATAGACGCTCGCGGAGACCCATAGACTCACAGTGAAGTCCATAGACTCGCACAGAGACACATCCACACAGAGACCCATAGACTCACACAGAGACCCATAGACTCCCGCAGAGACCCATAGACTCCCGCAGAGACCCACAGACTCACACAGAGACCCACAGACTCCCGCAGAGACCCATAGACGCTCGCAGAGACCCATAGACTCACAGTGAAGTCCATAGACTCGCACAGAGGCACATCCACACAGAGACCCATAGACTCACACAGAGACCCATAGACTCCCGCAGAGACCCATAGACTCCCACAGAGACCCACAGACTCACACAGAGACCCACAGACTCCCGCAGAGACCCATAGACGCTCGCAGAGACCCATAGACTCACAGTGAAGTCCATAGACTCGCACAGAGGCACATCCACACAGAGACCCACAGACTCACACATCATCGTGCTGCTGTCAAAACAAGCAATGGTTTCAAATGTGTGGCGGCCCTCACACACATTGGCGATGTCTTCCCGGCGCAAGTGGCCTTCTGAAAATGAGTGAAGGGCACTGGTACAGCCTTCTGGACAAAGTTGGTCTGTGGGTAATGGGCCGTACAGGTAAACCACTGCAAGTCTGCAAAACGAGACGAACGCTCGCTGAATTTTCGATGTAAAGCTTTCGTGACTGCAGGGATTCATCTTCTTGGTTCTTTCGGTAAAGTCACGTAGAATGGAAATAATAATAAAATAATAAAAATAAAACATAGTAAAATAATTTTCACGACGTTTCGGCCACAACGGCTGCTTGCGTTGTGGCCGAAACGTCGTGAGAATTATTTTTTTATGTTTTTATTTTTATTATTTTATTATTTCCCTTCTACGTGACTTTACCGAAAGAACCAAGAAGATGAACTCTCACTGCTGAAGCCGTCTCGTCGGGGCCGGCGGCAGAGACATCGACATTGTGCAATACGTATAACCAGTAGAAACAAAGTTTTTCACTATAAATCCTTTATATGCGTGGCGGCTAGAGTCCTCTCGTCCTCTGGCTTGAGATGGCTGCCACCTATGGGTCAGATGATTGCATTGCACCATTAAGCAATTGGTAATTAAATATAATGTTTGTCCTAAAAAGTGTACAATTTAGAGAAAAAAAATTCACGAACATTAATTGTCACGCACAACGAGTCTGTGTGCAAAATGTCAGCTCGGTTGGATCACGGGAAGTGGGTTAAAAAACGACCGAAAGATTTGCACGGTCCTAAGCAAGCATGCAAGCAAGCGAACTTAATATAAAGGATTTAAAAACGACCGAAAGATTTGCACGGTCCTAAGCAAGCAAGCGAACTTAATATAAAGGATTTAAGAAGCAAGTGCCGCGCAAAGCCGCGCGGCACTTGCGGCGGACAGGCCGCAACGCCCCCCCCCCCTCCCCCTCCAGCGTCACCTTTGAAAGGCTCTCGAGGCCGCCCAGCGTGGCGAGCATCGCGTCCGGGTTGCTCACGACGCCCGGGTACTCGACGCACACGAAGGCCGAGCCCTGCTCGAAGCGCTTCGAGCCCGAGGGGGGACCCTCTGACTCCGCCATGCCGGAACGCAACAGCGCCCGGGTACCTCCTGTGGATTGCCACGTGGGTGTCGCACTCACTCGGCGTCCGGGCGGAAACCAATCGGTGAGCGGTTGTTGTTTTTGTTTTGAGTTCCGGCCTGCCTCCACCAGTCTGTGAGTATAGCAGCCCCTCCCTCCCCACCCAGCCCCTCTCTGCACGACGGACGGACACAATAATCCCCTGTGGGCTGGTGTAACCAGGAGGTTTCTACCAGTATAAACTGGCTGACTTGCAGTGCCAATAACTGGTTTTGTAAACCAGCGCCAGCCTCGAATGAGATACTGAGCGTGACCGCCAGAGGGCAGTGCACGGCAGGGCTGTGCGATGTTAAGCAGTAATAAAAGATGCAACGTTAAGCAGTCACAGCAAGAAAGTTTGTCAGTGATTAAGCAGTGTGTCATGGTTTGGTTGATTGTGAATTTACACAGGTGTTCATACTGGATACAACTCGAATACTTGTCAAGTGAAAACACGTGTGGAGCCTAGTACCTAAACGTTACGCTGCAATGTGGGTATTAATTTTATATAATCATGCATACGTATCCGTAGCTTTATCACCAATTTTTTTTTACATCATCTATCCACTGCTGGGATGAAGGGCTTCCCAAACTATGTTGGTTATGAGAGGTTGTTTGACCATACTCTATGGGGTTTTTTTCGGAAAAGTCACGTAGGTAAAAAAATAATTAAAATGAAAACGAATAAATTAAATCACGACGTTTCGGAGGCAACACAAGCTTCCGAAACGTCATGATTAAATTTATTTGCTTTCATTTTAATTAATTTTTTACTTACGTGACTTTACCGAAGAGAAAAAAAACAAAGAGTATGGATCCTTGCAGTCACAAAAACTTCAAATCTAGAATGTTTGACCATACTTCACCACAAATCGCCACTGCGGGATGTTGCAAGGGTCGCCCCAGCCGTGAGGTCGGGATCCGAACTCATGTCGCCGCGGTCGAAGCGCAGTGCACTACCCACTGCGCCCACATCTGATGCCCAAATTAAAACGTGCACGTGAATAATTAAACGTCCCAGCCACTTAAACCGATCAATAATCCCTTTGTAGTCTATGAACCAGAGCATATTTTGCTTACCACTAAAATTAGCAAATCTTTAATAGTATCGATGTATTTATTAAATGCGCATGGCTGGTGGGATATCTAATTCTAGATTTGAAGCTTTCATGACTGCAATGATTCATAATCTTAGGTTTTCTTCGGTAAAGTCACATAGGTAAAAAAATTAAAATTAAAATTAATAAAAGTAAAATAAAAATAAAAATCACGACGTTTCGGAGGCAACACAAGCTTCCGTCTTCAGGTGGAACCGTCAAAGCAAGATTATGGTGGGATATCCTTCCCCATACTTCCCGTGTTTGGCTTGCAGTTAATATTTGACCCGCGGTGCCATGCCAGCACTCATCCTGACGGTAAAACAATTCAACAGTCACAGTACAAATCTCTCCAGGGCAGCTCGCGACTTTGGCAACGCGTGCGGTGTGAGGGAGGGCAGGAGGGCCGACGGTAACCATACCCAGGGGGTTGGAGTGGCGTCCAGCGAACCAAGGGAACGACCTAAGGCCATATGCTGGGAAACTTGTCAAAATCGACCTATCGATCTCTGTGCGAGTCGATTAGCACGCAGCCGACCGTGGTAATCGCACCTCCGATGAGCATGGTTGACTACGCACGGAGCGAAATGAATTCAACATACAAACGTGTCTGTGAGAGGCTACGGATCTGTGAATCTCTGGACTTCTCCGAGTCATTAGTTGTCTGTGTGAGTCTATGGAAATATGTGTCGATGGGTCTCTGTGTGAGTCTGTGGGTCTCTGTGTGGATGTGTCTCTGTGCGAGTCTATGGATTTCACTGTGAGTCTATGGGTTTCTGCGGGAGTCTATGGGTCTCTCGGGGAGTCTATGGGTCTCTGTGTGAGTCTGTGGGTCTCTGTGTGGATGTGTCTCTGTGCGAGTCTATGGATTTCACTGTGAGTCTATGGGTTTCTGCGGGAGTCTATGGGTCTCTGTGTGAGTCTCTGGGTCTCTGTGTGAATCTGTGGGTCTCTGTGTGGATGTGTCTCTGTGCGAGTCTATGGATTTCACTGTGAATCTATGGGTTTCTGCGGGAGTCTATGGGTCTCTCGGGGAGTCTATGGGTCTCTGTGTGAGTGTGGGTCTCTGTGGGAGTCTATGGGTCTCTGTGGGAGTCTATGGGTCTCTGCGGGAGTCTATGGGTCTGTGTGAGTCTGTGGGTCTCTGTGTGGATGTGCCTCTGTGCGAGTCTATGGACTTCACTGTGAGTCTATGGGTCTCTGTGTGAGTCTGTGGGTCTCTGTGTAAGTCTGTAGGTCTGTGTGACTGTCACAATCTAATCTAATGTCAGATTGTGGGAGACTGTCAGATCTTGGTAGTCGCTGCGGTGTCCTGTGCAGCAGCAGCAGCAGCTGTGTCATCTGCCGGAGGGAAGTGAGGAAGTGCAGTCTTAGCCAAGATGACTTCTGGACTCTTTTTTAACGTGAAGAGATAAGAACATCCTGTCGCACACACAACATTGACGTTGGAATTTCGAAAATGTGTCACTTGGCAATGCAAAAGGTGTGTTTTAGATTTATGCACGCAAAAAAAACGCCGTGGTTTTTGTTATTCATAATTTGTTTCAGTGATAATGATATTATTATAATACACACCGCCATATCCTGCCATTATAATCACGCTTTATTTCCATATTCAATAAAATTTTCAGTAAAGCGTTAAGCTCCTCGTGCTGTTTTGGGAAACGCAGATTCAAATAAGAATGGCTTCACCGTATCTGTAAGAGGCTAGAACTGGCTATTTTCGAGGTGACCATCAGATGGCAGTACAGCCATAGATTGCGAAGTTTTGAGGACTTGGTAGCTCTTCGCGTGTGTAATCTTTCTCCGGGTTCTCCGGATTACATTTCAGTTTCATGTATTAGGTATAGCCCTGTGAGCCATTTGGCTCTTGAATCGGGTGCAACCGCAACAAACAAAAAACAAAAACATGAACAAGAAAACATCTTAATGTGACTATGTGACTATGTGTAAACAGAAAATCCAAGAAAAAACAGCAAAATATTGCCGAAAAAGCACCGTACACCAACGCTGTGTGCAAAAATCCCAGTGGGATGCAAGTCAAACAACAACAACCACAAGACAACTTAGATTAAGGCCATCAGTCTAACTCCGTACTACAACAAACACACATGGCCGAACCAAAAAACTTTTCGAAAATCACCAAAATAAAGCCATCCGCGTGCGTGTGAAGCCAAACTCGATGCAATTGACCAAACATGCCAATGTACCAAGGACCATCCTGCAAACCGAGTTTCGGGACTCAGCCGCGCTTTGGAAGTTGGGGATGTTCTGGTCATTGGTTAAATAATTACGCCGCGGATACTCGGGAGACCGTTTGGTTGTAATAGCCCTGCAGTGGTGATATTTGACCGCTGTGTATCGCATCAACCGAACCGCTGACCGCTGTGACTCGGCACTGAGAAAACTATGATTTTTGTCCAAAATTGTGTGGATGACTCTTTGCCAGATCTACACCCGCTGTGGGTGACTCTTTACTATGGGTGACTGCAGTGGTGGATCTTTGCTTTGGGTGACTCTTTGCTGTGGGTGGATCTTTGCTTTGGGTGACTGTGCTGTTGGTGACTGCCGTGGGTGACTGCTGTGGGTGATTGTGCTGTGGATGGATCTTTGTTTTGGGTGACTCTTTGCTGTGGGTGACTGATGTGGATCACTCGTCGCTGTGGGTGCCTCGTCGCTGTGGGTTACTATTTGGACACATCTAAAAATGTTGGGGGTGACTGGACAAAGACACACACCCAGGTGCCATGTGTTGACCGACATGACCGACAGATGCACCGACTGCGCACCCCAACTGTGTCAATTCGCTGCGTTGTAATCGCCCGGCGCTCCACTCGTTGTTGTGAGCGTTGCTCCTTCGACCTCTGGTTGTTGCTGGAGGACGACTGCCTCGAAACCGCCCAGGAACAGCGTCCTTTACGAGCCTCCTCCTCCTCCACAGAGGCCGATCTTGACACCGCTGAATTCTAGTGGGGGCGGGGTAGGGTTAATGATTCGTGGAGGGAATTTTCGTCTCCCAGACGATGGCTATAAGTTCCGGGCTCTTTCCACGTGGTGTATAAAGCAGAACAATGCAAAGTGCGTGACGGCGCGGGGGGTGGAGTTGGATGGGGGTGGGGTGCTCTTTACGACATTTTATGGTAACGGAAACTCCCAATGCCTGGCCCCCGAAACGTCGACTCAGCGTGACTCAACTCCCAATCCTGGAAGCAACGATCGTAAACTGCAAGCCTGGAATGTAAGGCGAGGGATTATTATCATCGTACAACTTTCATCGCACCGGGTAAACGCTGTGTGTGTGTGCGAAATCTCGCGTTGTTGGGGAGCGGTTGTGTTGTGGTTAGCGCGCTGCGGGCAGAACGCGGCGACCCGGGTTCTGTATCCCGCTCACGGCCACCCACCGGTGACGATTATCTGAACCGGTCCTGGGCCTCCCCTGGTTCTACTCAGCCTCAAATTAGTACCTGGTGCGGTGTGTAAACATCGCCACTGGGGAGACAAAGGCGGTCGGACGTGGTGCGGTGCTGGCCACCCACCCCCTCGTGTGCCGTGCCGGCCTTCATAGGTGCTCGCTAACAGCACTTGCCCCAACAGTTTGCTACAGGCTATACGGGGGTGTCTTTGTGCCGTGCGTGACACCGTCGCAGTTAACTTTCAAACCTTGAACGCTGTTGAGGTTTTCAATGGGAATTGCTTTGCGGCGGAGCGCAGCGCATTCCTGCGGACGGTTTTATTGGCAAGTGTGGCAATGTGCAATCCTTCCTGTGGCAATCCACCGCTGGATGAAAGCCACCAAAGCCACCACCATCAGACCCGCAGCTGCACGCGATGCTGTAGCTCCCATCTCCGCGGACTTTGTCCCACGCCTTTAGCTGCCGTTCCGGTGCCCGCCTCGACCGCCCATCCCCTTTTATTATCGTGTTGTG